GTATGTGTGTATGTGTGTGGATACCTTTTTTGTTTAGAAGATAACTTTAACAGGTTTTAATGGATTTAGATAAAATTTAGTAGGCTCATTTATCATATTAATATCTCAAATCTGACCAAAGGATTTTGAAAAATACTCCAAAAAAAAATTTTATGGTCTTTTCTCCAAAAAATTTTTTTTAATCGAAAAAATTTTTAAATATAGAAAAATTTAAGGTTATATATAATAAAATCATATTCTTTACGTCAAGACGAATCGATCAATATATATAAAGTATTCATTTGAGGTAAATTTAAAGAATAAATGAAAGTTAAAAAATCAAAAATTCACATTTTGTCAATAAAATTTTCCTTTCTCCACGAGGAAGCAAATTTTTTGCTGATCGTAAAGAGGAAGCAAAATGTTCATGCAATGAACATCTGAATTTACAACTTTTTTGTAAGTTCTTTATGCTTTTGGATGCGTTTTTGGTCATAAAAAGGGTCTTCCTCAACTCGAATCTGGGTGTCAATTTTTTTCTACACTTTTCGGTGTATTTTGTGCAAGAATATGCAATAAAATCGTCTGCCTAAAAAAAATTGAATTTTTTTGGAAAGTTTTTTATGCTTTTGCATGCGTTTTTGGTCATAAAAAGGGTCTTCCTCTACTCGGATCAAGGTGTCAATTTTTTTCTACACTTTTCGGTGTATTTTGTGCAAGAATATGCAATAAAATCGTCTGCCTAAAAAAAATTGAATTTTTTCGGAAAGTTTTTAATGCTTTTGGATGCGTTTTTGGTCATAAAAAAAGTTTTCCTCTACTCGGATCAGGGTGTTTTTTTTTTATAATCACAAGAAAACGTTTTAGGTTTTATTTTATCAATGTTCTTTATTTATTCATCATTCAGCGAATGTTAAAATGTAGGAAGAGGAAACCGAAAATTATAGCTTATATACATTTTAATGTTGCAGATCAATTTTTGTGTTGTATATCTATATAGTATGTTAATACAGATGTTTTTTTTCTCATATATATATATATATATATATATATATATATATATACAATTTCACATAATACGCTAACTTTATTTTTTTAGTCTTTCCTTTTGTTTGCACTTTTATTTCTATGAAACCTGCATAGAAAGAATCATTATTTATTCACCACTTCTCACCTCGAGAAAATTATAGACGTTCACTACCGTAAATATTCTTTCATTCTTGAAATAAAAAATTTTTTCTTGAATACCTCTTGCATATTAAAAATTTTAAAAAGAGGGAAGTAATGAAAAGAATTTGAAATAAAAAAAAAATTTAATATTATACAAGTCACATTTGCATTGCACAGTGAGAAGAAAAACATGCCCCTTGTGAAATTGATTTTTAGCACACAATTTTCAACCGATTTAAGATTTTTTTTTTCAATTAAAAGTAATAAAATTCTGCACAAAACGTAAGTTTTTTTTGGGAAAAAAAAATTTCCTTAAGCTTTAAACTTAAAACAATTTTTTTACATTCTCATTATAAATGACAAAGTATTTTTAATTTAAACGATTACAGTTGCTCATTAAAGGCTGCCAATATACTATAATAATACCACAAATCATTAAAGCAATGTTCTAAGAATGTTTTTTATGCATTAACATTAACAGAGTGTCTAACAACTGATAGGAAAAAAATTCTCTGACTATTCCCTGATCTAAATTATTACATTAAAAAATTTTTATTTTGATCAAATAAAATTTATCTTCATACAATTAAATCATTTATTTGTCTATTATCTACTAATTTCATATGTATTTAAACCTAATAAATAATATTTCGTAAAAAATAAAATATTTAAGTAAAATAAATAAACCCAGTGAGAAAAGCACGATTGGCTGAATATTGGTCCAATATTGGAAGCACTTTTGCCAATCTTGGTCCATTATTTTTACCAATATTGGTCCATGGCTGGGAGTGTAGAGACCAATGCCAAGGCTCGAATTTCAATATTGGCCCAATATTCAACCAATATTCAAAAATAAAAAAAATCAGATTTCAGCCAAGATTAAAAAAATTAATTATTAAAACTGAAATATAATAAAAATTTATTTGTTATATTTATATATTATATTTTATTATATATATTAACATTATTATTTCCCTTCGGATCAAAAGTATATTATATAAAATCATCCGCAATAAACAGAGACAAACGGAGAAAAAGAAAAAAATTTTTCTAACGTCATGCTAGACATTAACAATTATCAGCTAAATAAAAAAAATATTGTGAAGATTCTGTACATATCGCGGATAATTATACCCTAACCGATTAATGTTGTTTGTGAGAGAGAAAAACACTGCTATCTGCCGGATAGTTGGAAAATTAACGTAGCGCGAAATTCAAACTGCATGAAGGAAAAACTGTAAGTATAAAGAATTAAAATTAAAAAAATTATTTATGACCATTATAACATTAATTAAGATTTGTTTAATGCAATAGTACGCATTCTTAAGTAAATAAATTTTCAAGTAAATGTTTATATTTACAGTTTTTCCTTCACGCAATTTGAATTTCGCGCTACGTTAATTTTCCAACTATCCGACAGATGGCAGTGTTTTTCTCTCTCACAAACAACATCAATCGGTTAGGGTATATTTATCTGCGATATGTACAGAATCTTCACAATATTTTTTTTTATTTAGTTGATAATTGTTAATGTCCAGCATGACGTTAGAAAATTTTTTTCTTTTTCTCCGTTTGTCTCCGTTTATTGCGGATGATTTTATATAATATACCCCTAATTCGAAGGGAAATAATAATGTTAATATTATATATAACAATAAAATGCTTGGTCTGTCCTTCTGTCCTAACTTGAAGTTGGCCTTTTCTGATTTCACGTGTTTTTTTTGAATAGTAATCAAATTTTGACAATTCTTTTTCTCATTTTTGCCAAAGTTGTATAATTGTGTTTCCAAATTTTGGAATAAGATTCTTTAAAATTCCAAATTCGAAAATTCAATTCACGAAGCTGAAGTACACAACGTTTACCAACGAAATTTTTTTTAAAGTTGTATATTCATTCAAAAATTGTATACAAATACAAAAAATTTATGATGAGAAAAAAGATGCGCCAGGAAATTTCGTACAAGATAGTAATTTGAAAAAAATTTATTTTTAAGGTACCAGGGGCCAACGAATACCTATTAAATATTAATTATAAAAACACAGGCCTCAAATCAACTTAAAGACACAAAAAAGTCGTTTAAGTCGATTTATATTCCAAAAAAAAGTGGATTTGTTTTTTATTTTAACAAAAATATTTTACAGATTTCTAAATAAAATTTTTTTTTTTAATAATAATCCTTTTCAAAGGGTTAAAGTTGAAATTTTTAGAAATAATTAAATTTTAAAAAATATTGTTAATTTTCAAACAATTATTAAATTTTACAGAACTAAAAATAATTTATCAAACAATTTTTGGAAAACATTTTTTAAATTTAATTGAATTTTCAAAGATTTAAAATTGAGATTTTTGAAATTAATTGAAACTTTAAGTGTTTTGTAATTAAAATTTTAGATGATTTCACTAAAAATTTATTAGAAAATGCGGACAAAATACAATAATTTGAAAATCATTTTTAATTGAAAAATGGTTTCAGATAGTTGAATTTTCAAAGAATATTATTAAAATAGTTAAAAATAATTGAATTTACTTAGAGTTATAAATTGAAATTATTAAATTTCAAAAAAAAAAAAATTTCAATGGAAAATTTTAGAAATAATTAAATTTTAGATATGCTTTTAAATTCAAATTATTGAAAATTCAATTAATTTTGAATTCAATTTTTTGAGAATAATGAAATTTTATTTGATTTTAAATTTGAAAAATAATTGAATTTCAGTTCATTTTGAATTGAAAATTTTGGGAAATAATTGAATTTTAATTGACTTTGAATGGAAAATTTCGAAAATAATTGAATTTTAGTTTATTTTGAATTGAAATTTTTGAAAATAATTGATTTTCAATTGACATTTTGGAAAATAATTGAATTTTTGTTAATTTTGAATAGAAATTTTAGAAAATAATTGAATTTTATTTCATTTTAAATTGAAAACTTGGTAAATAATTAAATTTTAAATTGAAAATTTTTGTTAATTATTGGATTTTTAATTGATTTTGAATTAAAATTTCGGATAATAATTAAATTTTAGTTTATTTTGAATTGAAATATTTAAATAATAATTCAATTTTATTGTGATATTTTTTTTTTAATTATAAACAATTGTTAAATTTCATAAAAATTTTAATTGAAAATTAATTTTGAGATAATTGAATTTGTGATATATTTCATTAAAATTATTAAAAATTATTAATTTAGTGAAGAATCATTTTAGTTAAAAATTTTTTAAATAATTGAATTGAAGAAGATCTGAAGAAGATCTACATTTTATACTAAAAAAATGTATTTTATTTACATTTTTTTTCAAATGTAAAAAAAATGTCGCATTTTATTAAAATAAGTCAATAAAAGTCGTATTTTTGAAAAAAGTCGGAAAAAGTCGTATAATCCGAGGCCTGTAAACATATAATTTTCATTATTATCATTTAATTTGTAATAATATTTTAATAAATTAAATTATGATTGATAATATTAATCTTTAATTTCTTTATAACAAACAATTAAATACTCAATTTGGCGCGCTTGCGCGCGTTTAATTTTGCTAGTATATAATAAAATATAATTTATTTAAAAAAATCTTGTATTTGTTATAAATAAATACATATAATTATCAATTACGATTAACGAAAAATACTTTTTTTAATTCATTTTATAATATAACGTTGTTTAAACAAACACTAATTAACGAATAGACAGTCTCTTTGTTTTTAGTTGTTTAACACTCCTTCTTTGAAAATATTTCCTTAAATGTGCTATATTTTTTAAATCTAGTCAAATTTAACCATTGTTAATAATTTAAATTGAAAATATAATTTTGGTAAAAAAAAAGATGAGAAAAGGATATAAATTCAAAAAAAAATTTTAAATAGATATATGTTTATTTATAAAAAATTGATAAATAAGTGAAAGTAGAAAAAATATTTGTTTTTTATTGAACTGTACAATTCGAATTCTTGATTTGTTTTTTTAAACAATACACACAAAAATATAAAGCAATAAATAAACGGAAAGCATTTTTCAGCAGAACTGTACAATAAAAATTGTTTCTTATTCTAAAGAACTGTTTAAAATTACAAAAAAAATACTGATAATGTAAAGTTGTTAACGTAACGGCGATGATGATGATGATGATGATGATGATAATAATAATAATATAACGTTTAAGATTAATTACTCAAACGATTTAACGATTTTTTTTAAGATTAATAATTTTGATAAATTATGAATAGAGTGAATATGCAAAATTATTTTTCACTAAAAATCACTCATTCAATTCACAATTTATCGAAATTAATATTGAAATATCAAAATGATTTCAAACTTTTTTTTTCTGTGATCTTGTTAATACTTTAGGCTTTTTAACCTCAAAATCCGAATCATCATTTTCATCATCATCAATTTGTTTTTTTGACACATTTCGTTTCGATGGTTTTAAAGATTTTTGTGATTTTGTTTCTTTTTTAGGTTTTTTTTTTGTCTCAAATTCTGGTTCACTTTCTTCAAAATCTTCTTCGAATTTATCATCATCATCATCATCATCACTAATAACTGGTTTTTTTGCAGCACTTCGTTTCGTTGTTTTTGAAGATTTCAGCGAATTAATTTCTCTTTTAGGTATTTTTACCTCAAAGTCGGACTCATTTTCTTCATCATCATCATCATCTTCGTCATCAACTATTTTTTTTCTTAAAACTTTTCGTTTTGATGATCTCGAAGTTGTTGCTACTTCTTTCTCAATGGACATTTTTTTCACAGAATTAACATTTTTCGTTAACTTTAATTTCTTCTCCCCTTCCTTCACCTTGAATCAAAAATTTAATAAATTCTACAAATATTTAACATATAATTAAAAATAAAATAATACATTTATTTAAAAAAAAATTGTACCGTCTCCTCCTCGGATATGTTCTTTCGTTTTGATTGTATCTTATCTCTAATGATGGCAACTCGTTCATCATCAGAATCATCGCTCTCGGCATGTTTATGTGCAGAATATTTTGCGGCCAGCCGCACTCTTATTAATAAACCATTTATGAGTTTTCGCCAATTTCCATAAATTCTCTTGTCTCGTTTTTCTGTTGCACGTTTTGCTGCTTGAATTTGTTCCTCTTCCCAAGCATTTCTCAATGCGTCTTCGTATTCTTCACAAACCACATAACCCTCAAAAGCCGGATGTGATCCAACACCTGAGAAATTAAAGCCAACAACAGCTGGGACACAATCAATATCCAATTTCTTAGCCACACGATTCAAGCCAGGAACTGAAATATAAAGGTGAACAAATTCATCAAAAGAGATTAAAAATAGAAAATATTATAAGTTACATTCGAAATTTTTTAATATATTATACAATTAATAAAAATAAAAAAAATGAGCATAAGTATAAAATCTTTTAGTTAAATAAAAAAAAAAATTCTTATTGAAAACAATTTCAAAATACAAATTATGATTTACATTATATTCTTAACTAGCAAAATTAAACGCGCGCCAAATTGAGTATTTAATTGTTTTTTATAAAGAAATTAAAGATTAATATTATCAATAATAATTTAATTTATTAAAATATTATTACAAATTAAATGATAATAATGAAAATTATATGTTTACAGGCCTCGGATTATACGACTTTTTCCGACTTTTTTTAAAAATACGATTTTTATCGACTTATTTTAATAAAATGCGACATTTTTTTTTACATTTGAAAAAAAATGTAAATAAAATACATTTTTTTAGTACAAAATTTAGATCTTCTTCAAATCAATTATTTAACAAATTTTGAACTAAAATGATTCTTCACTAAATTAATTATTTTTAATAATTTTAATGAAATACATCACAAATTCAATTATATCAAAATTATTTTTCAATTAAAATTTTTATGAAATTTAACTATTGTTTATAATTTAAAAAAAAATATCACAAATAAAATTGAATTATTTTTTAAAAATTTCAATTCAAAATAAACTAAAATTCAATTATTACAAGAAATTTTAATTCAAAATCAATTAAAAATCCAAAATTTTCAATTTAAAATTTAATTATTTACCATGTTTTCGATAAATTGTGAATTGAATGAGTGATTTTTAGTGAAAAATAATTTTGCATATTCACTCTATTCATAATTTATCAAAATTATTAATGTTAAAAAAAATCGTTAAATCGTTTGAGTAATTAATCTTAAACGTTATATTATTATTATTATCATCATCATCATCATCATCGCCGTTACGTTAACAACTTTACATTATCAGTATTTTTTTTGTAATTTTAAACAGTTCTTTAGAATAAGAAACAATTTTTATTGTACAGTTCTGCTGAAAAATGCTTTCCGTTTATTTATTGCTTTATATTTTTGTGTGTATTGTTTAAAAAAACAAATCAAGAATTCGAATTGTACAGTTCAATAAAAAACAAATATTTTTTCTACTTTCACTTATTTATCAATTTTTTATAAATAAACATATATCTATTTAAAATTTTTTTTTGAATTTATATCCTTTTCTCATCCTTTTTTTTACCAAAATTATATTTTCAATTTAAATTATTAACAATGGTTAAATTTGACTAGATTTAAAAAATATAGCACATTTAAGGAAATATTTTCAAAGAAGGAGTGTTAAACAACTAAAAACAAAGAGACTGTCTATTCGTTAATTAGTGTTTGTTTAAACAACGTTATATTATAAAATGAATTAAAAAAAGTATTTTTCGTTAATCGTAATTGATAATTATATGTATTTATTTATAACAAATACAAGATTTTTTTAAATAAATTATATTTTATTATATACTAGCAAAATTAAACGCGCGCAAGCGCGCCAAATTGAGTATTTAATTGTTTGTTATAAAGAAATTAAAGATTAATATTATCAATCATAATTTAATTTATTAAAATATTATTACATATTAAATGATAATAATGAAAATTATATGTTTACAGGCCTCGGATTATACGACTTTTTCCGACTTTTTTTAAAAATACGATTTTTATCGACTTATTTTAATAAAATGCGACATTTTTTTTTACATTTGAAAAAAAATGTAAATAAAATACATTTTTTTAGTACAAAATTTAGATCTTCTTCAAATCAATTATTTAACAAATTTTGAACTAAAATGATTCTTCACTAAATTAATTATTTTTAATAATTTTAATGAAATACATCACAAATTCAATTATATCAAAATTATTTTTCAATTAAAATTTTTATGAAATTTAACTATTGTTTATAATTTAAAAAAAAATATCACAAATAAAATTGAATTATTTTTTAAAAATTTCAATTCAAAATAAACTAAAATTCAATTATTACAAGAAATTTTAATTCAAAATCAATTAAAAATCCAAAATTTTCAATTTAAAATTTAATTATTTACCATGTTTTCAATTTAAAATGAAATAAAATTCAATTATTTTCTAAAATTTCTATTCAAAATTAATTATCCAAATTTTCAATCAAAAATGAACTTAAATTAAATTATTATCCAAAATTTCAATTAAAATTCAATTATTTCCCAAAATTTTCAATTCAAAATGAACTGAAATTCAATTATTTTTCAAATTTAAAATCAAATAAAATTTCATTATTCTCGAAAATTTGAATTCAAAATTAATTGAATTTTCAATAATTTGAATTTAAAAGCATCTAAAATTTAATTATTTCTAAAATTTTCCATCGAAAATTTTTTTTTGAAATTTAATAATTTCAATTATAACTCTAAGGAAATTCAATTATTTTTAACTATTTTAATAATATTCTTTGAAAATTCAACTATCTGTAACCATTTTTCAATTAAAAATGATTTTCAAATTATTGTATTTTGTCCGCATTTTCTAATAAAATTTTAGTGAAATCATCTAAAATTTTAATTACAGAACACTTAAAGTTTCAATTAATTTCAAAATTCTCAATTTTAAATCTTTGAAAATTCAATTAAATTTAAAATATGTTTTCCAAAAATTGTTTGATAAATTATTTTTAGTTCTGTAAAATTTAATAATTGTTTGAAAATTAACAATATTTTTTAAAATTTAATTATTTCTAAAAATTTCAACTTTAACCCTTTGAAAAGGATTATTATTAAAAAAAAAATTTTTATTTAGAAATCTGTAAAATATTTTTGTTAAAATAAAAAACAAATCCACTTTTTTCTGGAATATAAATCGACTAAAACGACTTTTTTGTGTCTTTAATTTGATTTGAGGCCTGTGTTTTTTATAATTAATATTTAATAGGTATTCGTTGGCCCCTGGTACCTTAAAAATTAATTTTTAAAAATAAATTTTTTTCAAATTACTATCTTGTACGAAATTTCCTGGCGCATCTTTTTTCTCATCATAAATTTTTTGTATTTGTATACAATTTTCGTATGAATATACAACTTTAAAAAAAATTTCGTTGGTAAACGTTGTGTACTTCAGCTTCGTGAATTGAATTTTCGAATTTGGAATTTTAAAGAAACTTATTCCGAAATTTGGAAACACAATTATACAACTTTGGCAAAAATGAGAAAAAGAATTGTTAAAATTTGACACGTCATAAGATTACTATTCAAAAAAACACGTGAAATCAGAAAAGGCCAACTTCAAGTTAGGACAGAAGGACAGACCAAGCATTTTATTATTATATAATAATTTATCCCCTTTTTGAGTACAATTTTGTAAATTAGTTTTGATTTATAAGAATTGATTTCAGATCATTGCTGATTTTATAGAACTGTACATTCTAAAAAGGGATTAGATGATAAATAATTTTTTTTTTTTTCAAATTTACGTTTATTGAATATTGTTAAAATAATAATACCGACAACAATTTTGAAAAAAAGTGTCCTCTAAATTGAAAAAAAGTATCAAAAATTAGCATATATTGAAAATGAAGTAAATTAGTTTTTTAAGTAAGAAATTTAAGTGAATATGATTTGTTGTCGAAAAAATTGAAAATAAAAATGACTAGACTTAGGAATTCACAAAATTTTTATTAAATTTTGATATAAACATAAAAAATGAAAATATAATAGCTTTTTTCTCAATATTTTACATTAAAAAGTAAAACACACTTATTCATAACATTTTGCATATAACAAAACGTAATTGTTAATAATACTTAAAGAAGATCTTTTATAACAATTTGTTTTTTTAATAACGCGATCAGAATTTTGAGGAGTAAAAGTAACACTTTTCTTTCTCCTGATTATTTTTGTTTTAGTAAAAAAAAATTGATTTTTTTTAAATTCATTTTTTTCGTTTAAATCAATTATTTATTTGATCGAAATATTTTTTTTTGTTCAATAAAATAATGTATTAGCAATAAATAAGAAATTATTTGTATTAATAAATAATTTACTTTACTTGAACTATTTAATAAATTTATTTTATCAAATAATTTTTATTTATATAAAAAAAAACCAAATAATTCACTGGAAAAAAATTAATTAATTAATTGTTCCAAGTAACTCACTATTTGTGTTGAAAAAATCATAAATTAGATTCAATAAATAGTAGTAAATAATTATTTACATAATGTATCTGCTTTGGGGAAAAAAGTCAAAAAATCTTTTGAAACAATTAGTTATTTTAATTTATTTATAAAAAATTCCAGAAAATTAAAGAAATTCCCTGACTTTTCCCTGACCGTTAGACACCCTGGGATTGTTTTAAGTCATATAAATTTTATAAATTTATAGAATCCACATAGCCATAATTTTGTACATTAATAAATAATTATGAGTAATTTAATTACAATATAAAAATTATTAATTTTTTTCTAGATAGATCTTAAGTTTTTATATATGTTTTTATTATTGAACTACCCATTTAAAATAGTGTATTATTGAAAATACAATTAATATTTTTAAATTTGATAAAAAGTTTCTAAACATATAATAAACAATCACGTTCAATAATAAATTTCATTCACTTGGCGGGCTTTTTGTAATCAACAAAATTCACTAAAAAAATCTAAAATTCTTAAATTCTCTCAATTTTTTTTTCATCTTTTTTGGGAAAAAATTAGCATTTATTAGCTTTTTGCCAAAATTAGTATTAAAAAGTAGCTTCGACCAAAAAAATTGTCAAAAAAGTAAAAAAGTGTGTCACTTCGAAGCCCGTATATGTAATTAAATTAAAAAATTTTTCAAAAATAAATAAAAAGTTTACTTACGATCAATATGAACAGTTCCTTTGGGAAGCATTGACATTTTAAATAAATACACATTTCCATATTCATTTCTAGGAACTTTACCATCTTTTGCTGCGGGTGGAACGTAGGGATCAGTTTGCCATTTTCCAAAAATTTCAAGAGGTAAATTTTTTATTTTTGTTCCCGTAAACTGTAATAAAAAGATCAATTTTTTTTGCGGAGAGTTTAATAACAAAAAAAAAAAAAATGTTAAATATCATTTTCCAACCTTATCGTATTTAGGCATTGATTTGACAATTTTATATGGTTCCTGAGCTGGTTTAACGACTCTCGCAAATTTTATCCATGTTTCACGTGATCTCAATGTGTGTACACAATAACGTGAATAAATACCCTCGCCATTTTTTAAATAACCCAATGGTACAGCGTCAGGTGGATAGATTGCTTCGAATTTCAATAAATGCCTTGCGAGAGCATAAAGTGGATGCCCCTTACATTCGGTCATTGTTTTTGGAAGAGGTTGCTCCAGTTCTCTGAAAAAAAAAATTATTATTATTATTCGAATTCAGAATTTTGGAAAATTTTTTAAATAATTAACAAATTTCGAAGAATTTGATTAAAATATTATTGAAAAAAAAATTAATTTTAAATGAAAATTTGTTGAATAATTGAATTTTAGAAGATTTTTAATTAAAAAACTTTTTAATTCCCTGAATTTTTGAAAAACTGTATTAAAGTAATTAAAAAAATTAATATAGAGTGGAATTTTAAATAAAGTTTTTAGAAATAATTGAATTATAAAGAATTTTCAATTGAAAAATAAAAATAAAATATTTAATTTTCGATTTTTGAAATTATCAATTAAAATTTTAATAAACTTGAAATATTGAAATTTTTTGAAAATTATGAAAACGCAAAAATTTATAATAGTAAAGAATTAATAATGAAAAAACATTTTATGTAATTGAATTTTTGAAAAACTTAATTAATGTTATTATAAATAATTAATTCAAAAATAAATTGAAGTTAAAAATTTTAGAATTAATTGAGTTTTGGAAGAGCAATTGTTAAAATTTTTGGAGCTAATAGAATTTCAGGAAATTTTTAATTAAAATTTTCGTAAATTGGAATTTTCGTAGATATTTTATAAGCTTTAAACAATAATTAAACTTTGGAGAATTTTCAACTGGAAAATGTTATAAATAATTAAATAGGTATTCGAAAATCTTGATTAAAATTATTAAAATTAAATTATTCAACAATTTCAGTTTTAAATAGAACATTTAGAAATAATTGTATTTTAGAAGAATTGGAGTAAAATTGAGACAAATTTTCAAGATTTCATTTCAGTTTCAGAACAAATTTTGAAAAATAATTTAAAGTTACATAAGAAAAAAGAAAAGTTTTCAACTCTGATTTGATTAAAATATTATTGAAAAAAAATTAATTTTAAATGAAAATTTGTGAAATAATTGAATTTCAAAAGATTTTGAATTAAAATTTTTAAAATAATTGAATTAGGAAAAGTTTGTTTTAAAATGTTTAGAAATAATTGAATTTCAGATTTTCAATTTAAACTTTTTTTAATTTGAATTAATAACATTTTTTTTTTATTTTTTTACAAATTTCAGACAATAATTGAATTTTAGAGAATTTTCAACTGAAATATGTTCTAAATAATTAAATTTTGATGGACTTACAGTTAAAATTTTTTGAGATTTATTTTTGAGTTTTGAATAATTTAATTTTTGAAAATTGGATTAAAACTGTTGAAATAATTAATTAAACAAAAAATAAATAATATGGATAAAAATTTAGGAAAAAATTTTTTAATTGAATTAACATTCAATTGCTAATTGAATTTGAAAGAGTTCGAGTTAAAAAATTTTTGAAAGTAATTAAATTTCCGAAGATTTTAAATTGAAACTTTCATAAATTTTAATTGATAAAATTGTTTTTTAACAAACTTTAAAGAATAATAGAATTTTAGAGTATTTTTTTTTTTAATTAAAAAGCTTTTTATTTCTCTGAATTCTTGAAAATTTGTATTAAAATAATTAAAAAAATTAATTTAGCGAAGAATTTTAAATAAATTTTTTTTAGAAATAATTGAATTATCGAGAATTTTAGAGAATTTTCAATTAAAAAATGTTTTAAAAAATTTAATTTTCGATTTTTGAATTTATAAATTAAAATTTCAATAAATTTGAAATTTTTTAATAATTATGTAAACAAAAATTTAATAGTAAAGAATTAATAATGAAAAAAAGTTTTATGTAATTGAATTTTTGAAAAACTTGATTAATGATATTAGAAATAATTAATTCAAAAAGAAATTGAAGGTTAAAATTTTTAGAAATAATTCAGTTTTGGAAGAGCAATAGTTAAAATTTTTGGAACTAATTGAAATTTTTTTAAAAAATTTCGAAAATAATTGAATTTTAGTAAATTTTTAATTAAAAACTGTTTTAAATCATGTAATTTTCGAAGAACAAATAAATTTTTAGAAATTTTTATTCCACTTACCTTCTTTTTGATAATTTATCTCTTGTGAAATTAATTTTTTAAAAATTAAAAAATTACCTTTTAAGAAGTAAATCATCCTCGGCTTTTGATATCGCAGAATCTTGTTCTTTCCATGGTTGTAAAGATTCACTCCACCAATTTTCATCAACTCTCTGCTTTCTCGTGACTGTCATCCAATTTGGACAATATCTACGAGTCACATCTTTTACTTTACCTTCAGTATTATAAGCAACAATATATAGTACAGGATCCATGGCTTTTTTCTACAAAAAAAAAAAAGAAAAACAATTTCCAAAACAAAATAAAAAATTGTATTTAAAGAAAATAAACTTACGAATATTTCCTTAACACAATTAATTTTTGCCGATGGAATACTAATTGGAATCCAATTTTTTTCCGAATCTACATAAACTTCAACCCAAATATCTTCAGTTGCTTTTTTCACCTCTTGATTTTCATCATCGGTAGAAATTAATTTACGATTTTTTTGTATTACTTTATTCTTATTAATTTCATTTTTCTTTTTTTGGGGAATAAAATCCTCATCAGAATCTGTTTCTATTGTTGCTACAGTTTCTTTTTGTAAACGATTTCTTAATCTTTTTGCAAGTGGCGTTTTAATTTTCTCTTTCTCCGATTCTTTTATTTTGTCATTAATTTTTGAATTGCTTTTAGTTTTTTCATTCTCTTTACTTTTTTTTTCAGTTTTGCCTTTTTTTAAAATGGCAGCCGCTTTTTTTCGCGCTTCAATCGCTGCATTTTTTCTACCCTCTGGACTATTATCCAAAAGTATTTTTTTCGATTCTTCTTCTTCTTCTTCTTTTTCCGATTTTTTATTTTCATTCGTCTTTTTTGATTTTGTACCTTTTTTTCCTTGTGCTTTACTATTTTTCGATTTCTCCTTCTTTTTGCCTTTCTCTTCGACTTTATTCACCTTATCTTTATCTTTTTCTTCTTCATTTTCTTTTTTCATTGGAATAAGTTGTTCGCGTGTTGGTTTTAAAGGTGGTGGACAAATATTCACAACAAGACGACAATTTAAGCCAATTGCACGCAAAAGGGCAATAAAAAGAAGAACTAATTCACGATAATTGTAAACTTTTTTCTCTCCAATTCGTTCTAAAAGTGAGGCGCTCGTTAAAAGACGTTCCTCTTCTTTTGAAGCAATTGAAAATGTTTTTCTAAACCATGTGGTAACTCTTTGTAAATAAATGAGATCAACACGACCTTTTGGATAATCATTTTTTGTAATTAAAGATAAACATGTGGCAAGAGTTTCATGATCATTTGCCATTCGATTCAATAGAAATCCATAAACAAGCCACCAAAGTAATCCAACTTTATGAACTAAAACTTGAGTTGTTCTTATTCGTTGATTTAATTTATTTCTCAAAAGTGTTTCAATATCTGTTTTCTTTTTTTTTCTTTCAAGCATTATACTTGTACCTGGTAGAGTTATCAGTACACCTTCTTTTGGAATTGTGTACTCTGAAGAAGTTTCTGGTTTTTCGTCTTTTTCCTCATTCTCATCATCGGTGTGTTGATCTAAAAAAAACTCGATTTTTTTTTATTTTAATTAAATTTAATTAGTTAATAAGAATTTTACTTTTAATTAATTAATATTATCAGATATTAAATCTATTTTATTAAGAGGAAGGACAGTTGAAATTTCAACCTTTCAAAATTAAGGCTTTTAAAGGTTGTCAATTTTTTTTTTTTAACAATATTGAGTATTTAAAACTAATATTCTGTGGAAAATTGAAAAACAATTAATTTATTAATAATTTTTTAAGTAAAACTCGAAATCTTCAAAAAACTAAAAATTTAAATTTCTGTCGCAATTTTTATTATTTTTCATTGCAGATTTTTTTTCTACATTTTTTTCATGATTTTGAGCAATCGTATGGATTTTGAAAAAATTGAATTTTTTCAAAAAATAAATTTTCTAAAATGGTCGAAATTTTTTTTTTTTAATTTTGATAATTTACAATAATTTTAGATCCCAAATAATGGCAGAAAAAAAATTGACACCCCTTAATATTATCAAGAAAATTTATTTAAAATATTTCAGAATCGAAGACGTAATTTTTTCAAATTTTAATTAAATAAGACAAATTTATAAAAAAAAAAAATTTTGACAACAATTCAATTTTAGAGATTTTAATTGTAACTTTTGTAAATTATTGAATTTTTGAAAAAAATATTAAAATTATTAAAAATAATTGAACTTTGGAAGAGTTATAGTTGAAATTTTTAGAAATAATTAAATTTCAAAAGATTTTGTGAAATTTCAGTCAATAATTAAATTTTACAGAATTGAAAATAATTTATTAAATAATTTTAGATAATGTTTTTTAAAAGTAGGTAATTAAATTTTCATTGATTTACAATTCAGATTTTTGAAATTAATTAAACTTCAAGTGATTTTTAATATTTAAATTTTCTAATGATTTCTGTTGTTGATGAAGAATTTATTAGAAATTACAAACAAAAATTGAATTTCAGAAAGTTTTTAATTGAAAAATGCTTTCGAATAATTGAATTTTTGTAGAATATTTTAAAAATCATATAAAATCGTGAAATTTTGGAAGAGTTTCAGTTGACAATTTTCAAAATAATTAAATTTTAGGTTTTAAATTGAAATTTTTGAAAATAATTGAATTCAAGTGATTTTAAATCTATTTTTTTTATTCAAAATATTTCAACATATAGGCATTAAATAGAATCTTCTGATTATTGTTCTTGTAGTGAAAATTTTTTTTCTATACAGAATTAATTTTAATTTTTAATTGAATCTTCCAAGAATTACAATTGCAATTACTTTTGAAAATTGCATTTTCGATGAACATTAATTGAAATATTTGAAAACGATTGGATTTTTAAGTATTTTTTCAAGTATTTCAATTCAAATTATTAAAGCGCGTTTAATTTTGCAATTTTTTAAAAGTAATTGAAATCTCGAAAAAGTTAAATTGAAATTTATGGAAAATAATTAAATTTTGGAAGAATTATAGTTGAAATTTTTAAGAAAACATAATTTTTTCAAAAGATTTAATTGAAATTATTTTAAATAATATTGAATCATTAAAAACTTTTAATTAAAATTTTTGAAAATAATAAATTTTTTTTAATCACCTAAAATTGAAATTTTTGAAAATAATAATTGAATATTTTAATTTTAATTAATTTATTTATAACTTTTTTAACTTATTGATTTTTTTTTTAAAAACAATTATATTATTAAAAATAATTGAACTTTGGAAGAGTTATAGTTGAAATTTTTAGAAATAATTAAATTTTAGATTTTAAATTGAAAATTTTGAAAATAATTGAATTCAAGTGATTTTAAATTGAAATTTTTTTTTGTGAATTTCTGTTGATGAAAAATTAATTAAAAATTAAAGACAAAAATTGAACTTTTAAATTTTTTTTAATTGAAAAATGCTTTCAGATAATTGAATTTTCGAAGAATATTATAAAGATTATTAAAAATAATTGAATTTGGGATTAAATATAATTGAAATTAATAAATTTTAAAAATGTTTTAGATGGAAAATTTTAAAAATAATTAAATTTTAGGTTTTAAATTGAAATTTTTGAAAATAATTGAATTCAAGTGATTTTAAATTGAAATTTTTTTGGTAATTTCTGTTGCTCAAGAATTTATTAAAAATTATTGACAAAAATTGATCTTAAAAAATTTTTTAATTGAAAAATGCTTTCAAATAATTTAATTTTCAAAGAATATTATAAAAAAACGTTAAAAATAATTGAATTTCGAAATTTATAATTGAAATTATTAAATTTCAAAAAGTTTTAGATGTAAAATTTTTAAAAGGTTTAAAATTGAAATTTTTGCTAATTATATAATTATTTAATTTTTTTAAATTATAAACAATTGTTGAATTTCATAAAATTTGTAATTGAAAAATAATTGAATTTGTGAAGAATTTTATTAACATTATTAAAAATAATAATTAATTCAGAGAAAAATTTTAGTTAAAAATTAGTTAAATAATAATTAAAATAAAGATCTTTTACTAAAAAAAAGAAGACATATTTATTTAAAAATTTTGTAAAAAAAAATGTTAATAAAAGTCGTAAAAGTCGCATTTTTTTTAATTAAGTCGAAAAAAGTATTTTCGAAAAAAATTTCTTGACAAACTTTTAAGGTACCAAATTTTTTTTTATAAACTTATATTTATTATTATTTAAAAAAATTATACATTTTTTTTTGGTTTTTATTACATATTTAATATTGAATTTTATAATTTTATTCATATAATCTAAAAATTAATAATGTTATTGTTTAAAATAAAAAATATTGCAAAAAAAAAAGAATAATATTTACCATGACTGGATGCTGCTGCACTAGTTTCACCCTGAAGTAAAAGATCACTAATTTCACTCGTAAGACCTCTATTTTTCGTCGATTCCTCTTTAGAATCATTTTTCGTAACATTTTGTGAATCAAACTCTTGCTTTCTTTGATTTTCAAGACTCTTTTCTTTTTCGAGATTACTTAAAATTTGTGAAAATAATTGCGCTGATTGTGCATTATCAACATCTTCGGGTTTAAAATCTTCCAGTTCTTCTTCTTCTTCATCTTCCGACTCAGAATTCGAATCTTTAATAGTTTTTATTGTTTTCACCGGAGTTTTGAGGTTAGATTTCGGTACTAATTTTTCACGAAAGAAACTTGAATTTAAATTGATTTTCTCAGCTGGCACAAGAAAATCACAGCTACTATCCGAACTTTCATCTTCAGAGTCGCTCATTTTTAATTATATTGTTAAACATTAGAAAATAAGAAAATATACAAAACTTTTTTGTTATTTTTTATACGCGCACATAACGACATAACCACGGACATAACAAACATTTTTGTAAACACCATAAGAGATAGGAAATGTGCTACGTATAAAACTTTGGTAAATTTTGGTAACTTTGGTAAATGTGGTAAATAAACCAAGGCTGTAAACCGTAAAAAGGAAAACCTCCGAAATGTGACACTTTGTGGGGGAATATTTCAAGAAGATTGGTCAATTTGTCATTTTTACCTTGTGATTCTTTTCTAAGGCATGTGTTGTCATATTTTATTTTTTTTTTTTGCTTTAGAAAATTACATGATTTAAAACATTTTTTAATCGAAAATGTACTAAAATTCAATTAGTTTCTAAAATTTAAAAAAAAATTTCACCAATTCAAAATGAAAGTTTCAAATTAATAATCTCCTGAAATTCAATTATTATTTCTAAAAAATTTTACTCCAACTTTTCTAAAATACAATTATTTCTAAATTTTCTATTTATAAAATTGAAATTGTTGATTAATTTAATTTTAATAATTTTAATCAAGATTTTCGAAAATTCAATTATTTCAAACATTTTCCAAGTCAAAATTTTCCAAAGTTTAATTATTGTTTAATGCTTATAAAATATCTACAGAAATTCCAATTTACGAAAATTTTATTAAAAATCTGAAATTCAATTAATTCCAAAAATTTAAACAATTGCTCTTCCAAAACTCAAATAATTCTAAAATTTTTAACTTCAATTTCTTTTTCAATTAATTATTTATAATAACATTAATTAAGTTTTTCGAAAATTCAATTACATAAAACTTTTTTTCATCATTAATTCTTTACTATTATAAATTTTTGCGTTTACATAATTTTCAAAAAATTTCAATATTTCAAGTTTATTAAAATTTTAATTGATAATTTCAAAAATCGAAAATTAAATATTTTATTATATTTTTCAATTGAAAATTCTTTATAATTCAATTATTTCTAAAAAATTTATTTAAAATTCCAGGCTATATTAATTTTTTTAATTACTTTAATACAATTTTTCAAAAATTTAGGGAAATAAAAAGTTTTTTAATTAAAAATACTCTAAAATTCTATTATTCTTCAAAGTTATTGTTAGAAAACAATTTTATCAATTAAAATTTATGAAAGTTTCAATTTAAAATCTTCGGAAATTTAATTAATTCATTTATTGTCTGATATTTGTAAAAAAAAATTTCAGTAATTCAAATTTTTAAAAGTTTCAATTGAATATCTCCTAAAATTCAATTATTTCTAAAAAAAATTTAATCAAACTTTACCAAATTCAATTATTTTTAAAATTTTAATTAAAAATCTTCTGAAATTCTATTATTTCACAACTTCTTTTTTAAAATTATTTATTTTGAATAATATTTTAATAACATTCTTCGAAAATTTAATTATTTAAAACTTTTTTTAGAAATTCTGAATTCGAATAATGTGTATAAATGGGAGTTGAAAAATTTTCTTTTTTTTTAATGCAATTTTAAATTATTTTTGTAAAAAAAAATTTTATCAATTATAATTTATGAAAATTTCAATTTGAAATCTTCAGAAATTTAATTACTTCCAAAAAAAAATTAAACTCGAACTCTTACAAATTCAATTAGCAATTGAATAATTAATTGAATGTTAATTGAATTGAAAATTTTTTTCCTAAATTTTTATCAATATTATTTATTTTTTGTTTAATTAATTATTTCAACATGTTTTAATCCAATTTTTCGAAAAATAAATTATTTAAATCTCAAAAATAAATCTCAAAAAATGCAATTATTTCTAAAAAATTTAACTGTAACTCCATCAAAATTCTAATTCTATTCAATTATTTCAAAAATTTTAATTCAAAATCTTCTGATATTTATTTATTTATTTATTGAAAATATACGGGCAAAGCCCATTAAGTCCAAATTTAATTATTTCACAATTTTTCATTTGAAATTAATTTTTTTTTCAATAATATTTTAATCAAATCAGACTTGAAAAATTTTATTTTTTTTTTAAATGTAACTTTAAATTATTTTTGAAAATTTCTTCTGAAACTGAATTGAAATCTTAAAAAATTTATCTCAGTTTAATTCGGTGGTTTAAAAAAAAAAATTCTTGAAAATATTTCTGTGAAACATTTTTAGGTATTAAGGAATTAATAACTTTTATTTAATTTCTAATAATAAATTGTTAATAATAAAATATTTATCAATTAATTAAAATTTATTGAAAATAAAAAAACGGACTTTTTAGACTTTTCTTGTAATGTAAATCGACTAAAATGACTTTTTTTTCTTTCAAAAATCGATTCGAGGCCTAGAATTATAAAAATGTAAGACAATAATTTTTAGAAGCAAAAGTTTAAATTGAAAATTAGAAAAATTATAATTTTAGTAGCATTTTTAGAAATTTGATATTTTTCCAGTACTTTTCATAAAATTCTCTAATTTTCCTGAGCAATCTCTTTTTTCCTGACTTTTCTATTAGATTTTCCTGACCCGTGGCAACCCTGATATAAATAATTTAAATTTAAAACTTTCACATCAAAGATTCTGTCTATAGTAAATAAATAAATCCTGATCCGACGAGCTAATCCACCATTTATTTATCATTACATTCTTTTCAGAAGATAAATACTTATCTTTTTTTTTAAATATATTTTTCTATCATTGGTACATTAAAAATTCATTATTTCTTAAAAAACTAAAATAAAAAGACCATATATGATGTGATAAAAATTCTTTAATTGGCATGATTGTTTCATTTTTTTGCCGTATCTAATACATAAAATTATCAACAATATATTGTGTATAAAACAAAAATCTCTTAATTACAAATATTTAAATTATGCAAATATATATGTATACTTTAGTTCTGTTTGCTTGCAAAATTATGTTTTTAATTAATTTTGTTATAACTTATATATAATATATAGTTGATGTGAAAGTATTACATTGTATTTATATGTAAACGTCTGAATACAAATTGATAAAAATTTATTTATTAAAATAGAGAAGAAGAAATATTAGTTATGTATAAAATTTTCAACCAAGAAAGTCATAATTAGAGACATCGTCAAATTGTTGACCTTGAGGATTTCCTGGTTCCATGGGTCGTACATTCATTTGTCCTCTGGGACCCACCATTTGCTGCTGCATTCCAACAACTTGTCGATATTGTGGTTGCTGCTGTACACAAAATTCAAATACGTAATAATAATTTCCCTTTTGCATTTATTTATTTTTTTATTTATTTCTATTCTAGTGCGTCTAAACAATAGTAATTTTATTTTAAATTCTAACTTTTTAATATGTGAGGGAAAAAATTAAGTTTTAATATAAAAATAAAGTTCAATGAACATCGACGTTTTCTTTTGAAATTACTTTGGTGAAGTCTTAATTAATTTAAGATTAAAATGAATCTCATTTAAGCTCACATTATAAATTTTAATGAAACAAAAAAATATCAGAAGAAAGAAAGGAAAAAATTAATAGTAGATGACAACAGAAAATTAAATTTAAATACGAAAAATGAATTTTTCATCAAATTTACTGAAGAAAATCAACTTTCGATATTGACTACAAATACAATTGCATTTAATAATAAACAAAATATATAAAATTAGTACAGTTGAAGTTTAAAAAAATTCATAAATTCTGTTTACCAAATTGTAAATTTTTTTTCTATTTATTGTCATATTAATTAAATTTACCTGCTGCAATAAGTGCCGAAGTCCAAGACTATTGGTCATAACGGGCCTCATCATGCGTTGAGCGTTCGCTTGTTGTCCAGCCATTCCCGTTTGATTGAGTCCTCTTTGTGCTTGCTAAATGATCGTCAAATAAAAAACAAAAATTACACACGAAAAGATGAATATAAAAATTTGTTCACGAAGGAAATGTAAAAAAAAAAAGAATTTTCTACCTCGAGCTGTTTGTACTGCAATTCTTGTTGTTGCGACACATCGAGACTTTGTTGAATCTTCAATTTAAAAAGAACAATATTACAAATTGAAAGTGTTGTATCTTAAAATTAAAAAAAAAAAATTATTGCAAATTAAAATAAAGGCAATGAACGAAAACAAAATTAATATTTAATAATTATAAAACGAAAAAACCTATAACGGTTTATTTAATTTTATAATTACTGTATACAAAAAAAGGTTTTTAGAAAAATAAAAATAAATAAAATACATACATTGATCTCTAATTGAGATTTATATTGCGCCTCTTGTTGTTGTGCAGCTTCGAGGGTTTGTCGAAGTTGTTGAATTTTTAAAAGATTCTGTTGTCTCATCATTCCCAAATCATCAAATTGAGGTCGCTGCTGACCCATCATTCCTCCGCCTCCTGCGCCAACTTGCTGTCCACCAGCCATATTTGCATTCTAAACAATTGAAAAAATTTCATTCATAACAAATAGAATATAATATTATTGACAAAAGATAAATATCAGCAAAAAATTTAAAAAAAAAAAAAAAATTACAACCAAATTTTAACTAAAACATTTTGTAAATATTATCAAATTAAATTTGATAAATAAATTTTTTTTAACTATCTACCCTCTAAATCTGAATTAATAGATATTAACTATAATTAATAGTAGTTTCAAAATAATTTCAACTATTTGTTTACTGTGAATTAGTTATAATTTACTAATTCAATTTTTTTTTTTTTTTAAACTTTTGAGTGATAAAATTCCAGAACAAGAGAATATTCTCAAGAAATAATGGAATTTAAAACCTTTTAAAATTTAATTCTTAAAAATTTTTTTTTTTAAATTTAACAATTGTTTATAATTTAAAAAAATTAAATAATTATATAATTAGCAAAAATTTCAATTTTAAACCTTTTAAAAATTTTACATCTAAAACTTTTCGAAATTTAATAATTTCAATTATAAATTTCGAAATTCAATTATTTTTAACGTTTTTATAATATTCTTTGAAAATTAAATTATTTGAAAGCATTTTTCAATTAAAAAATTTTTTAAGATCAATTTTTGTCAATAATTTTTAATAAATTCTTGAGCAACAGAAATTACCAAAAAAATTTCAATTTAAAATCACTTGAATTCAATTATTTTCAAAAATTTCAATTTAAAACCTAAAATTTAATTATTTTTAAAATTTTCCATCTAAAACATTTTTAAAATTTATTAATTTCAATTATATTTAATCCCAAATTCAATTATTTTTAATAATCTTTATAATATTCTTCGAAAATTCAATTATCTGAAAGCATTTTTCAATTAAAAAAAATTTGAAAGTTCAATTTTTGTCTTTAATTTTTAATTAATTTTTCATCAACAGAAATTCACAAAAAAAAATTTCAATTTAAAATCACTTGAATTCAATTATTTTCAAAATTTTCAATTTAAAATCTAAAATTTAATTATTTCTAAAAATTTCAACTATAACTCTTCCAAAGTTCAATTATTTTTAATAATATAATTGTTTTTAAAAAAAAAATCAATAAGTTAAAAAAGTTATAAATAAATTAATTAAAATTAAAATATTCAATTATTATTTTCAAAAATTTCAATTTTAGGTGATTGAAAAAAATTTATTATTTTCAAAAATTTTAATTAAAAGTTTTTAATGATTCAATATTATTTAAAATAATTTCAATTAAATCTTTTGAAAAAATTATTTTTTCTTAAAAATTTCAACTATAATTCTTCCAAAATTTAATTATTTTCCATAAATTTCAATTTAACTTTTTCGAGATTTCAATTACTTTTAAAAAATTGCAAAATTAAACGCTCTTTAATAATTTGAATTGAAATACTTGAAAAAATACTTAAAAATCCAATCGTTTTCAAATATTTCAATTAATGTTCATCGAAAATGCAATTTTCAAAAGTAATTGCAATTTTAATTCTTGGAAGATTCAATTAAAAATTAAAATTAATTCTGTATAGAAAAAAAATTTTTACTACAAGAACAATAATCAGAAGATTCTATTTAATGCCTATATGTTGAAATATTTTGAATAAAAAAAAATAGATTTAAAATCACTTGAATTCAATTATTTTCAAAAATTTCAATTTAAAATCTAAAATTTAATTATTTCGAAAATTGTCAACTGAAACTCTTCCAAAATTTCATGATTTTATATGATTTTTAAAATATTCTTCAAAAATTCAATTATTCGAAAGCATTTTTCAATTAAAAACTTTCTGAAATTCAATTTTTGTTTGTAATTTCTAATAAATTCTTCATCAACAACAGAAATCATTAGAAAATTTCAATTAATAATCACTTGAAGTTTAATTAATTTCAAAAACCTGAATTGTAAATCATTGAAAATTCAATTATTACCTACTTTTAAAAAACATTATCTAAAATTATTTAATAAATTATTTTCAATTCTGTAAAATTTAATTATTGACTGAAATTTCACAAAAACTTTTGAAATTTAATTATTTCTAGAAATTTCAACTATAACTCTTCCAAAGTTCAATTATTTTTAATAATTTTAATATTTTTTTCAAAAATTCAATAATTTACAAAAGTTACAAATAAAATCTCTAAAATTGAATTGTTGTCAACATTTTTTTTTTTTTATAAATTTGTCTTATTTAATTAAAATTTGAAAAAATTACGTCTTCGATTCTGATATATTTTAAATAAATTTTCTTGAAAATATTAAGGGGTGTTAATTTTTTTTCTGCCATTATTTGGGATCTAAAATTATTGTAAATTATCAAAATTTAAAAAAAAAAATTTCGACCATTTTAGAAAATTTATTTTTTGAAAAAATTCAATTTTTTCAAAATCCATACGATTGATTGCTCAAAATCATGAAAAAAGTGTATAAAAAAATCTGCAATGAAAAATAATAAAAATTGCGACAGAAATTTAAAATTTTAGTTTTTTGAAGATTTCGAGTTTTACTTAAAAAATTATTAATAAATTAATTGTTTTTCAATTTTCCATAGAATATTAGTTTTAAATACTCAATATTGTTTAAAAAAAAAAAAAATTGACAACCTTTAAAAGCCTTAATTTTGAAAGGTTAAAATTTCAGCGGTCCTTCCCCTTAATAAAATAGATTTAATATCTGATAATATTAATTAATTAAAAGTAAAATTCTTATTAACTAATTAAATTTAATTTTAAAAAAAAATCGACTTTTTCGTTTTTTTTTTGTAATGTAAATCGACTTTTTTTGCGTCTTAAAGTCGATCCGAAACCTAAGTTTTCAACTAGTCAAAGTTTTCGTTAACTTAAATTCATTAATTTTCTTTAAAATTGCGTTGAGAAAATTAAAATTAAATTAACTTTTATTTGAATTGATTAATTTTAGTCTTCTAGGAGTGATTTAGAAAGTATTTTTAATAAACTTTCCATAAAAAAATATTGATTTTAATCAGAAAATAGTATTTAATTTAAAATTTCTTAGTTTTAACACTATTTTTACATTTTCCACTCAATCGGGCAATTTTAATTTTTTTTTTTAAGTTACAAAGCCTGACTAACTACGAAAATATATAGGACCAAAAGTGGGATCGAAATTATTGACAGTGTTGATGAGTCAAAAGTTATGAACATTCAAATGAACAAAATATTTTTTTTCAATCTTTAAATTATTAAAAATTATAATGGCAATGTAAAATAAAACGGTAAATTAAACAATAACTTCTTATTAGATATTTAAAACCTTTTTTTTTTTTTTAAAAAAATTTATATTTAAAGAAGTTGGAAAAAAATTTTGTTCATTTGATTATTAAAAACTTTTGGCTCATGATAGTTGTATAGAAAATTTTATACACTCTAGTACTGCGTATCGAATCTAAAAAGTATATTCATACCTGAAGATTTATTTGACCCGGTGGTCCAGTTGGAGTGGCTAAATTTTGTTGTGGATTCGAAGCGACAACATTCTGTGTAATTTGACCGCCACCCATTGCCATTGTATTTGTTTGTGACATAAGAATTCCCCCTTGGGAAATACCACTTGTTGGCATTCCACCTTGCATCGCATTTGCACCAGGTGGAGCACCCGCCTAATTAGAAAATTATCGAAATTTCATAATTTATAATTTTATAATATATTTTTTAGATAATATAAAATAATTAGCCAATTATAAAAATCAAGTTACATATCTATATAAAAATAATTCTACTTCATACAAAAAAAAAAAATTTTTACCTGTGATTGATGACGTAATGCTTGAGTATTTTTTTGCTGTTGAATGACTTTTCGAAGACGATCAACAAAACCAGATTGATCATTTGGTATAAAGCCAACAAATGATCTTTTATCAGCGGTATATAAAAGTAAAAGTACTTTTATTCCACAAGGTGGTTGTGTATTAAAATGAACGCATCCCGCCTAAAAAATTTTTAGATTCCATTTTTTTTATTTATTTTTTTTTTTTAAATAGAAGAATAAATTTTTTTTTCAAAATCATTCTAGAAAGAATAAAATACTTACAAAGCCAGTAGACATGACTTTAATAAGAGATTCAAGAGCTTCGCAAGGAGTTGGATAAAAATTAACTGATCTCGAATTTTTCAAATAAGAATTTCCTATTGTTCCTAAGAGCATTTTAGGCATTAATTGCATTATTAATTTTGGAGGCCAATTATCTGTTTTTCTGTAGAAGATCAAAATTTAGAATTACAAAAATAATTTTCACATTAGGCAAGAATTGTTTCCTAATATTAAAAAAATTAACGAAATTTTTAAATGAAAATTTTTGTTGGACATAAAATAAATTTTTTTAAAATGAAAATTGACTAGATAATAAAATTAAAATATACTCACAAATCCATTTCTCCTTCCTTTGATTGTATTGATACTTGACAAGGTACATGTTTAGTTTGCTTTTGTATATCATTTGGATTTTTATTTTTTTCAATCCACTCTAATGTACCTTGCCAAATAATTCTACGTTCAGTTCCCATGACCATTGGTTGTTGACCAACATTTGCCTAGAATGGAAAAAAAAAATTGTACTTTTCAAATTAATATAACTTTCATTTAATAAATAAATAATAATGAATAATGTCTAACAACTGTTAGGAAAAAATTCCCAGACTTTTCACTGATCTAAATTACACTAAAAAATTTTTATTTTGATCAAATAAAATTTATTTTGATACAATTAAATAATTTACCTGTCTACTATCCACTAATTTCATATGTATTTGAATCAAATAAATAATGTTTTGTAAAAAATAAAATATTTAAGTTAAATAAATAAACTAATTGGGGGGACGTATGAATATTCTCAACATTTAATTTCAAAGAATTTTTACGGCGTTAAATCTTAAATTATCAAATTTTTATTTAGTAAAATTATATAAAGCAGATTTTCTAGTACATTGAATTTTAAATTAATACAATTTCAAATTTAAAGGAATTTATATCAAGAAAAATTGCATAAAGAACAATTTTTTTAACAGAATTGTTTTTTTAGTAAATTTTGATTTATCAAAATATTTAACAGAATTGTCATTGAATAAATACACAATTAACAGAATTTTTATTTAACAAAATTCTTAATTAACAAAGTTTTTATTGAAGAAAATTTTAATTCGAACTAATTCTTATTTAACTGAATTTCTCATTTAAAAAAAATTCTACTTAGTTCTTTTTTTTGTTAATTTTTATAGACATAAATTTTGTTAAATTTAAATTATATTAATTAAAAATTTTTAAAAATTATTAGAAAAAATGCCTTATAAGAGTTCTGTTAAATAGAAATTCTTTTAAATCGAATTTTAGTTAAATGTAAATTAAAAATTTTGCATAATATAAAATCCACTTTATACAATTTTGCAAAATAGAAATTCGATAATATTTAATATTCGAAACCGTCAAAAATTTTTATAAGTTAAATGTGGGTATTAGCATTTAATAATAAATTATTCGTATTAATGAATAATTTACTTTATTTGAAGTTGAACCAATAAAATAAAATAATTTTTATTTATATTAAAAAACCAAATATTTTACTGAAAAAAATTAATTAATTATTATCCAAGTTTATAAAAATCATTTATTAGATTCAATAAATAGTTGTAAATAATTATTTACTTAATGAATATAAGATATATCACATGCTTAATAATTAAGTGTGAAGGAAAACTTTTTAATTTTCATTTTCTTTAGGGAGAAATGAAAAAAAAATTTTTGAAACTAATAGTTACTTTAATTTATTTAAAAAAAAATTCCCTGCCTTTTCTCTGACCATTTAAATTATCTGACTTTTCCCTGACCGTTAGAAACCCTGTTTATTTATAAATTATTTATTTATAAATAAAATTTATATTAATAACTATTACATAATAACAGCTTAATAATGAAATAGTTCAAATTAAAATTTCTTTTAAAATAAAAATATTTATATCTCTAAATTAAAAGAAAAATTATTTTCAACATACAATTTTAATTGTGAATTCTCAATTTGAAAATATTGGTTCCACATAAATTTTTACTATAAATAATAATTAATAATGTTGGAAAATAATTTTTAATAAAGAAAATATTGTCAATCGGAGTAATTATAACATTGCAGGGGCTATTTTACCCATTTATATTTTTATAGAATAAAATTTTTATTTTAAAATATTCACAATACAATATGTAAAAGTTAAATAAATTTTTTCTTTTAAGGGGAGGGATCGGTAAAATTTCAGCTCATCAAAATTAATGTTGTTAAAGGGTGTCAATTTTTTTTTCTGGCATTATTTTGGGTCTAAAATTATTATGAATTATCAAAATTAAAAAAAAATTTTTTTTTTGACTATATTTTCAAAATTTTATTTTTTGAAAATATTAAAATTTTTAAAAATCCATAAGAATTTTTATGGAATAATTGATCAAATTCAAACCAAACATAATTGGTTTGGTTTAGGGGTAACAATTTTTTTTTTTTTACAAATTTTTTTAGAACCTGAAATCATATTTCACTATGAAAAATGAAAAAAAAAGTTATTTTTAACAAATTTTGCATTTTTTTTTATTTTTCAAAAATTGAATTTTTTCAAAATCCATACGATTGATTGTTTAGAATCTTGAAAAAAGTGTATAAAAAAATCAGCAATGAAAAATAATAAAAATTGTAACAGAATTGTTTAAATTTTTAACTTTTGAAAATTTTGAGTTTTATTTTAAAAATTATTAATAAATTAACTGTTTATCAATTTCCCATAGTATATTACAGTTTTAAATACTCAATATTAACTGGGAAACAAATTTGACAACCTGAAACAGCCTCAATTTTGAAAGGTTGAAATTTCAGCGGTCCCTCCTCTTAATTCTAAATTTTAATGACGTTTTGAGTAAAAAAAAAAATAGCTGTTTTTTGTCGGTATATAATTAACCCAGTTAAAAATATTTTTACTTTGGAAATATTAGTAGAATTAATTATTTAATTTTAGTAGAATTTGTATTAATTACAATGAGAAAAATGTTTAGTCAGCCAACCAAAATTTGGTTACAAGAACCAAAATAGCCTAACCAAACAATTTTGTTGCAAACACTAAATTTTTTTTTTCTCAGTGTAGTAAAAAAAAAAAAAAACGAACCTGGCCTTGAGGATGAGGAACTTGTGGTGTGCCAGTTGATTGTTGACCAGGATTTTGTGGCGCAGTAACAGTGTGTGGTCCTTGATTTGGTGTTGGTTGACTAACAGCAGAAACTGTCAATTGTGTAACAGCTTGATTTTGTGCTTGTTGAGCTTGCATTCCCATTGACGTTTGTTGATTTTGTTGTTGATTCTGTTGTTGTTGTTGTTGTTGCTGCTGCATCATCATTCTCAATTGCTGTTGAGACAATTGCTGTTGCTGTTGTTGTTGAGCGTTTGCTGCAATTGCATTACCAGCAGTGCCTAAAATTTTTAAAAAAGACAATAAATTTTTTTTTTAAAAGTCGAAAATTCTCTATTGACAAACGTTAAAAAAAAAAAGATTTTGGAAAAGTTTCCGTTGACAATTTTAGAAATAATTAAATTTTAGGTTTTAAATAGAAATTTTTGAATTCAAGCGATTTTAAACCTATTCTTTTTTATTCGAAATATTTCAATACAGGCCTCGGATCGACTTAAAGGCACAAAAAAAGTCGTTTTAGTCGATTAATATTCCAAAAAAAGTCGAAAAAGTCGATTTTTTTATTTTAATAAAAAAGTTTTACATATTGAAGATGAAATTTATTGAAATAATTGAATTTCCAAAGATTTACAATTGATATTTTTAAAAAATTAATTGAATTTCAAGTGATTTTTAATTAAATTTTTTTGATAATTTCACTAAAAAATTTATAGAAATTGTGGACAAAAATACAATAATTTGAAAACCATTAAAATATTTGAAGAATATTTTAAAAATAGTTAAAAATAAAAATTTAATTTCACGAGAGTTATAATTGAAATTATTAAATTTAAAATTAAAATTTTTGAAAATAATTGGATTTTAGTTGATTTTTGATTGAAATTTTTAAAAATAATTTAATTTTACTTGATTTTGGATTGAGAATTATTTCTAATTAATTTTGAATTGAAAATTTTGAAAATAATTGAATTTCAATTAAATTTTTTGAAAATAATTGAATTTTAGTTTATTTTTGATTGAAATTTTGGAAAATAATTTAATTTTAGTTGATTTTGGATTGAGAATTTTTTCTAATTAATTTTGAATTGAAATTTTTGAGAATAATTAAAATTTAGGTTGATTTTGAATTGAAAATTTTGAAAATAATTGAATTTTAAAAGATTTTGAATTGAAAATTTTGAAAATAATTGAATTTCATTTAAAATTTTGGAAAATAATTGCAGAATTTTTTAGTAATTACAGGCAAAAATTGAACTTAAAAATCTTTTTAATTGTCAAATGCTTTCAGATAATTGAATTTTCGAAGAATATTATAAAAATCATTAAAAATAATTGAAATTTTGGCAAGTAATTAAATTTCAAGTGATTTTGAATTAAAAATTTTTAGCAATTTTATTTGCTAATTTTTTTTTTTAATTATAAACAATTATTAAATTTCATAAAAATTTTAATTGAAAAATAGTTTAAAATAAATGAATTTCTGATGAATTTCATTAAAATTATTAAAAATAATTAATTTAGTGAAGAATTTTAGTTCAAAATTTGTTAAATAATTGAAATAGAGAAGATCTGAAGAAGATTTGCATTTTATACTAATAAAACGTATTTTGTTTAATAATTTTGTAAAAAAAATGTAAAAAAAAAAGTCGAAAAAGTCGCATTTTATTAAAAATAAGTCGAAAATAGTCGAAAAAGTAGTAATTTTTTTTAACTATACAGAATTAATTTTAATTTTTAATTAAATCTTCCAAGAATTACAATTGCAATTACTTTTGAAAATTGCATTTTTGAAGAACATTAATTGAAATATTTGAAAACGATTGGATTTTTAAGTATTTTTTCAAGTATTTCAATTCAAATTATTAAAGAGCGTTTTTATTTTTTATTTTGCAATTCTTTAAAAGTAATTGAAATTTCAAAAATGTTAAATTAAAATTTTTGAACAATATTTGAAAAATAATTTAAAACCATTACAATTTTGGAAGAGTTACAGTTGACATTTTTAGAAATAATTAAATTTTAGAAGGTTTTAAATTGAAATTTTTGAAAATAATTGAATTCAAGTGATTTTGAATTGGAATTTTTTTTGTAAATTTTTGTTGCTGAAAAATTTCTTAAAAATTAAAGACAAAAATTGAACTTTCAAATTTTTTAATTGAAAAAGGCTTTCAAATAATTGAATTTTCGAAGAATATTATAAAAATTATTAAAAATAGGGTAAATGTACTAATTACGGCGCGATTCCAGGCAAAACACCTTTGAAATAGAAAATTCGATATTTCTATTGTATAAAGTCAATTTAAGACTTATTAAACTAAAAACTTATGTTATTTAGATATTAAAAAAAAAATTTAACTTTATAAAAATCGATTATTTAAACAAATATGAGAAATTAAAAGTAATACCGCAATTTTATATTACTTCGCGTTTGTATCAGTTTCGGTGTATCAATTACGGTGATCAAAATTACGTGTATTTTGAATATACTTTGCCCCACCGTAATTGAAGCCAATGTAAATCTTAAAAATGTTTCAATTACGGCGAGGGAAAAAAAATTTGATCTCAAATAATTAAATTAATAATTCTTTAAATGTGCATCTTTATAAGTAATTGTATCAAAAAAAGATTAAAATAATTTTTTTAATCATTTTGCAACAGTTATATTAAATATAATAGTAATAATAGTTATTTTTTCTGAACGCGCCGTAACTGATGCACTTACCCTAATTGAATTTCGGAAGAGTTAGAATTGAAATTCTTAAATTTCAAAAAGTTTCAGATGGTTAGTTAGATTTTGTTAGATTTTTTTTTTAATAATTAATTTAGTTAAAAATTTGTTAAATAATTGAAATAAAGAAGATCTAAAGAAGATCTGAATTTTATACTAAAAAAACGTATTTTGTTTAAAAATTTTGCAAAAAAAAAATTATTTAAAAAATCCAGGATGTCTAACAACTGCTAGGATAAAAATTCCCTGACTTTTCCTTGACCAAAATTACACTAAAAAATTTTTATTTTGATCAAATAAAATTTATTTTGATACAATTAAATCATTTACCTGTCTATTATCAACTAATTTCATATGTATTTGCCTAAAGAAAAATTTTTTTTAACAGGATTATTATTTTAGTAAATTTCAATTTATCAAAATATTTACTTAACAGAATTGTCATTAAATAAATTCACAATTAACAGAATTTCCATTTAACAAAGTTTTTATTAAAGAAAATTTTAATTTCAACTAATTCTTATTTAACAGAATTTTTCATTTAAGAAAAATTCTACTTAGTTCTTTTTTTTGTCAATTTTTATAGACATAAATTTCGTATTAGCATTAAATAATAAATTATTCATATTAATGAATAATAATTTAGTTTATTTGAAGTTGAACCGATAAAATAAAATTGTATCAAATAATTTTTATTTATATTTTAAAAAAGCAAATATTTCACTGAAAAAAAAGTAATTAATTGTTATCCAAGTTTAAAAAATCATTTATTAGATTCAATAAATAGTAGTAAATAATTATTTACTTAATGAATATAAGATATATCACATGCTTAATAATTGAGTGTGAAAGCCAACTTTTTAATTTGCATTTGCTTTGTGGAAAAAAGTAAAAAAAAAAAATTGATACTAATAGTTATTGTAATTTATTTATAAAAAATTTCAGAAAATTCAAGAAATTCCCTGACCTTTCCCTGACCGTTAGACACCCTCAAATCGAAAAAGTCGTATTTTTCTTAAACAAGTCGAAAAAAGTCGTATTTTCGAAAAAAAAAGGTCAGAAAAAGTCGTATAATCCAAGGCCTGATCGTATTGACAATTTATGCCTGTAATGTAAATTATAAATTAATAAAGACGAAAAAGAAAAATGATCTTACCATCCATACGTTGTCCAAAGGGTGAAATATTGAGACCCAGTGAAGGTGGTTGATTAAGTTGTGCCAATAGTGCACTGCCCGGTGTACTGGCGGGAGGCGCTGCATTTGGTGCAATAAATGGTGGTCCAGGTGGTCTCATTCGCCAATTATGTGTTGCTCTTGCACTCATACTCGATGGATGATAATTTGGTGGTGCATTAATTTGTGGATTAAAATTCGGTCTTCCAGCGCTCATTGGCGCCGCCATTGGTGGTGCACCAGGTTGATGTACCGATGCAATATTTTGTGGTGCTTGATTTCTAAATGGTGCGCCTTGATTTTGCGTTGGTTGTGCAATATTTTGCGCCGCTTGATTTGTATTTGGACTATCGTTACTTTGCAATGGACTCAATGGAATTTGAGCAGCATTTGGCGCTGTTCCATGGCCAGTGCCACTAATTGGACTAACTGGTCGTTCTTTTAAATTATAATTTCTCAAAAGTACCAAATGACGTGGATCTTTGGCATAATTTTTCGTTTGTGACGATTGTAAATCGCCGCCTGCTTTTTCAAATAGTTTAAATAATGCGGGTATTTTGCGTGGCGACAAAATTGAGAGATTGATATTTCTCTGAGAAAGAAGGAGAAATTTTTTTTTTTTAATTAGAAAAATAATATTAATTTTTGAATTTCTATTTAGCTCTTACTGTTTTTTTTTTCGAAAATATATTACAAATGATGTTTTTACACAAAAAAAAAAGAAAAAAATTTTCTACTCACATCCTGAAGAAGCGGAGCGAGTTGATCAATACTGTGACCTGCAAATTTAAATGATTCTTGAACAACAGTGAGATAAGGAGGTGAATTACAGACCAAGATGCAATGTTTTTGGGCAGCTGTATTTGGCTCTCGTCGCACTTGTAAATCTTCAAAACATTGTAAAGCTGTCGCCAAACCCTCTGCAATATTTGCATGCGATTCGCCCATTCCTCCCACCATTCTGCAAATAAAATTTTATTTATTTATTTTAGGATTTCTTATAAAAAGAAATATAAATAATTAAATATTCAGAGTTGACTTGTTCGATTTCTTTTTTATTTTTTAAAATTGAATTATAAAAAAAAATATATTATTAACTTGAATTATTTGGATAATCAATTATTTTCAGTAATTTAAAACAAATTCTTCGAAAATTATATAATTTAAAACAGTTTTCAATTGAAAATTCACTAAAATTCAATTATTGTCTAAAGTTTAAAAAAAAATTTCACCAATTAAAAATGAAAGTTTCAATTAATAATCTCCTAAAATTCAATTATTATTTCTGAAAATTTTAAGTCGAACTCTTCTAAAATACAATTATTTCTAAATTTTCTATCTAAAATTGAAATTGTTGAATAATTTAATTTTAATAATTTTAATCAAGATTTTCAAAAATTAAATTATTTAAAACATTTTTCAATTCGAAATTCTCCCAAGTTTCATTATTATTTAAAGTTTATAAAATATTAACAGAAATTACAATTTACGAAAATTTTAATCAAAAATCTCCTGAAATTCAATTAGTTCCCAAAATTTTAACTATTGTTCTTCCAAAATTCAATTATTCCTAAAAATTTTAATTTCAATTTCTTTTTCAAATTAATTATTTCTTGTAACTTTAATCAAGTTTTTCAAAAATTCAATCACATAAAACGTTTTTTAATTATTAATTTTAAAAATTTTAATTTTTGTTTATAAAATTTTTAAAAACTTTCAATAATTCAAGTTTGTTAAAATTTTAATTGAAAATTTCAAAAATCGAAAATTCAATTTATTAAAACATTTTTTAATTGAAAATTCTTTATGATTCAATTATTTCTAAAAATTTTATTTAAAATTCTTCGCTAACTTAATTTTTTTTTAAATTACATTACTACAGTTTCTTAACTGTAAATTAATTAATATAGTTTTTTATTTTTAATTTTATCAATTAAAATTTATGAAAGTTTCAATTTACAATCTTTTGAAATTTAATTACTTCCAAAAAAATTTTAACTTCAACACTTTCAAATTCAATTAGTAATTGAATAATTATTTGAATGTTAATTCAATTGAAAATTTTGTCCCCAAATTTTTATTTACATAATTCATTGTTTAATTAATTATTTCAACAGTTTTAATCCAATTTTTCCGAAATTCAATTATTTAAATCGTTTTTCAATTAATGTTTATATTTACAACAAAATTAGAATTTTTTTTAATTTTAAAAAATGCAATTATTTCTAAAAATCTTAACTGTAACTCCATTAAAATTAAATTATTTAGAACATATTTCAGTGGAAAATTCTCTAAAATTCAATTATTGTCTGAAATTTGTAAAAAAAAATTTCATTAATTCAAATTTATAAAAGTTTCAATTAAAAATCTCCTGAAATTCAATTATTTCTAAAAATTTTTTAATCAAACTCTTCCAAATTCAATTATTTTTAAAATTTTAATTCAAAATCTTCTGAAATTCAATTATTTCACAAATTTTCATTTAAAATTATTTATTTTTTTTTTATATAATATTTTGATAAAATTCTTTGAAAATTTAATTATTTAAAACATTTTTCGAAATTCTGAATTCGAATGATGTGCAAAAATGAGAGTGGAAAAATTTTCTTCTTTTTAATGGAACTTTAAATTATTTTTGTAAAAAAAATGTATAAATTAAAATTTATGACAGTTTCAATTTAAAATCTAAAATTTAATTATTTCCAAAAAAATTTTAACTCCAACACTTCCACATTCAATTAGCAATTGAATAATTAATTGAATGTTAATTCAATTGAAAATTTTTTTCCTAAATTTTTATCAATATTTTTTGTTTAATTAATTATTTTAACAATTTTAATTCAATTTTTTAAAAATTCAATTATTTAAATCTCAAAAAATGCAATTATTTCTAAAAATTTTAACTGTAACTCCATTAAATTTCAATTATTTAGAATATATTTTAGTTGAAAATTCTCTAAAATTCAATTATTGTCTGAAGTTTGTCAAAAAAAAATGTTATTAATTCAAATTTATAAAAGTTTAAATTGAAAATCTTCATTTAAAATTAATTTTTTTTTTCAATAATATTTTAATCAAATCAGACTTAAAAAATTTTCTTTTTTTTTAATGTAACTTTAAATTATATTTGAAAATTTGTTCTAAAACTGAATTGAAATCATGAAAATTTTGTCTCAATTTAATTCGATAGTGTAAAATGGAAAATTTTTGAAAATATTTTTAGGTATTAAGGAATTAATAACTTTTATTTAATTTCTAATAATAAATTATTAATAATAATAATATATTTATCAATTAATTAAAATTGAAAATAGAAAAATGGACTTTTTAGAATTTTTTCTTGTAATGTAAATCGATTGAAATGACTTTTTTTTTTCTTTCAAAAGTTGATTCGAGGCCTAGAATTATAAAAATGTAAGACAATAATTTTTAGAAGCAAAAGTTTGAATTGAAAATAACAAAAATTTTTAATTTTAGTAGCATTTTTAGAAATTTGATATTTTTCCAATACTTTTCATAAAAGTTCCCTGACTCTTCACTGATCCGTGGCAACCCTGATATTGTAAAATTATTTTTTAAAAAACATACTCTAATTTGTCCAAGGCAAGTAGAAGTTTATGAGGATTTGCATAAGGTCCAAGTGTTCCCGTACAGGGAGATGGTAAACAATCGGCGGCATGATAAACGACAACTCCGTATAAAGTTGAGGTGTTCTGAAAAAAAAAAAAAAAAAAAAAAAATAGTAAATAAATTAATGTATATATTTAGAAATTTATTATTCCTCTGTGTGTTCTTTTAATATTTAAAATAAATTGATTTACCTCTGGTACATATTCTCTGTCTTCAATTGTTCCTTGACTAAAATATCTATCAAAAGAATATGATGAAATATTTTTTTTTTTTTAATATTAAATTTAACTTAAAAAAAAAAAATTATATATTTTTTTTTAATACTCACTCTAAAGTAGGAATGAGATAATTGGTTTTAAGATCGTTTAAATAAGCACCATTAACAGCAGTGCCTTCTATTACAAATATAATGTCTGCCTGAAGTCCATGATCAGTGGGAACGTTGACCATTTTAGTTTCAATTATCTATTATTATCATAGAAAAAATATAATCATTTTTTATTTTTTTTTAAAGCTTCCTTAAAATTTAAAGACAATAAAAAATCTTAAAACACAAATATACTGATTTAATTTTATATATAAAATATATAAATAAAATTAGACTTTATTGTAAATTGTTCAAAATTTAAAAATTCATGTTTAATATTTTCATACTATTATTGTCTATTATTTATTTATATTATATATTTTATTGTATTATATTATTATTAAATATATGTAATTTGTAAAATATTTTTATATTCAAGAAATTCTAAACGACTATCGTTATATATTTTTTTTTCTATTTTTACCCACCAAAAATGTAGTAATTAAATTAAATGATTATAAAAATAAATAACATAAAAAAAACTTTTCTAAACAAATTTTTATTGTAAATTTTTAATAGGTAATAAATTTTATAATTCTAATAAAAAATTGTAAATCAAAAACTATAAACGTTCATTCTATAAAAATTTTAAATAGCAATCTTTAAAAAAAAAAAAATGTTAATTTCACAACATTTTGAAATTTTTTATAAACTTTCGATTTACCAGTAATTATTTGAAAATTATTTTATTTTTTTGTATTTTTTTCTTGCATCATTTGAGTTCTAAAGACACACAGTGTTTTTTCAAAAAGAAAGAAATCTTAATTTTTAACCATTTTAGAATTTGTATTTTTAAAAAAAAATTTTTATTATTTTTAAAAAAATAATTTAGTTTTTTTTTTTTAACAAGTTCTCAAAATTTACGCATGTTCCAAAACATTAATTTGGTGAGAAATTTAGTTCAATTTAAAAAAATTACGCTTTAAAATCCTTAAATAGCAGATGTTGGAAATTTAAAAAATTTTAAATAGCAGAATAAAACCAAAATATTTATTTCTTAATAAATTTTCGAAAAAAAGGAGAAAAAAACAACCAAAATTAAATAAATATTTATCGTATGTAAAAAATAAAAACGGAAATAATAAAAATTACATGCAAAATTAAGTTTAAACGAATTATAAATTTATAAGTAATAAAGAGGAAATAAATTAAATAAAAGAAAAAAGTTAATTAAATAATTTAAAAAATACGTATATATATATAATTAATAAGTGTCATTGACAAATTGTTTTATTTTAGGACAGATATTTACATTAAAATATGAAAATAACATTTATTTATAATTAAAATATAGAATAATTATTATAGTTATAAACGAGACAAGAAACTTACTGATAAAATGTTAATTTTCTTATTTTATAAAAAAAAAACTTGTTTTGTTATAAAAACCCGTATATATAAATTAAAATAAATTAAAAAGTAAACAAAAACATTTATAATGTAATTGGAAAATTTTAGGTTATGTTATGCATAAGAAGGTTGTCATTCGCACTCTCATAATTCTCGTCAACTACCGCACCCTGCTCTAGTAAAACTTAGTGACTTTATTGTTAAATAAAAGTTACTAAATTTTTACTAGAGCAGAGTGCGGTAGTTGACGAGAGTTATGACGGGAACGAGTGGGGACAATGCAAAATTGTGAAAGTAGCCTAAACTTTATTTCAAACTACCCAACTCTGGAAATACATGACGTTTGTTTGTAATTCAGTGACCTGGCATGTGGCAAAATTGTGACAGATTCATTCCTTTTTTTGCATTAGAGAAAAAAATCTATTAATTCTTATTTGGCTAATAAAACAATTATTAGTTAATTTAGTTTTTATTCATTTATCAGTTTAATTAAATTCTAGTCTTTCACTTTTTTTTTTCTCTAATTTATAATTATTGACAGATTATTCCTAACCTAATTGTCCGCTTACCGGGTTGAATTATTATTAATTTTTAAAATATAAAGAAAATTAAAATGCACTCAGTTCTAACGAGAGGAAATGCTATATTAGCATATACCCTTAGTGTTTCAGCGTGTCTCACTTTTGCCTGTTTTTTGTCAACAGTTTTTATCGATTATAGAACGAATGTTGCGCTCAACACAGGTGGAGTACTTGTGTAAGTTGTTATTCTTTTCGTAACATATGGTTAATATTTTTTTATTGTAAAAAAAAATGAAAATATCTTTATTTAAAAAAAAAATAATATTTTTTCTTCTATTTGCTTATTATTATTTCCAAAAAGAAAATTAAGGGTACAAAAAAAAACAACAACGAGTAATTCGTTTTCTATGTTACAATTTACTTTTTTTTTATTTATTTAAATCAAATTTATTTTTACTTACGTAACATTTTTCAAAAGTTTATTTTAAAGTACTTTGTTTTTTTAATAAATACTTTAACGATAAATTTAATAATACAAATATCAAGAAATATTTATATTTTTATAACAAAAAATTATAATTTTTTGAGTCAAATAAAATTATTAAATAAAATTTCTGTTAAATTTTAAATTTTATTGTCTTATTTTTTTTTTTTTTTGATTTTTTAAATAAAATTATTTTTGTTTCAGAAAAAATGTACCAGATTTTAGTGTATCCAGAGAAAAGAACGACTTGGGTATTTTAAATTTTGATATAAAAACTGATATCCTTTTTAATAACTAAATAGTTTTTAATCGATAGTATATATAGCCTCGGATTATACAATTTTTTCGAATTTTTTTTTTCATTTTTTTTTACAAAATTTTTAAACAAAATACGTTTTTCAGGGTGTCTAGCGATCCGGGATTTTGCCGGGAATTTTTTGAGTCATGAAAAAAACCGGGAAATTGCCGGGAATTAGTAAACAGATCCGGGAAATCCGTAGATTTTTAGAAAATATTAGAAAAATATATTTAATTTTTAAATTTTCGTAGAAAATTTTTTATTGGTATACTCGTATCTGATATCCTTTTTTTTAGCAATATTCCTAATTGTATTAATAATATATTTTTTGTAATTTATTACAAAAGCAGTGCAAATTGCAGTGTTTTATTAAATTGCAAGTAATTCAAAAAATAATGAAGTTTTTCAAATTTGCAATTTTACTTAAAAGGTAATTTTTCATAAAATTAAGGTAACTTGTCAATATTATTCCATAAATTTTTTCTTATATTCTAAAAATTTCGAAATTGAGGAAAAAAAATAGTTGGGAAAAATTAAAGTTATTTCTGTTGTGCAGATGGAAATATTATAATTAAATGAAAAAGTACTTGGAAAAAATTCTCACAAAATCTTTGCATTAAAAAATTTAATATGTTCTGAAGACAAATTTCTTTTCAGTAATGCTAACCCTTCGAATCCCGACCTGGGTCGTTTGTGACCTAGGTGATATTTCAAATCTTAAAAAACGACCTTCAATTTTTGCTGAAAAAAATATATGAAATAATTTTTTTGTTAAATTATGAATGTTACTTCAACTTGATAGATTTACTAAGTTATTTGAAATTGAAAAAATACTGCGATTTACGGTATTTTCGTAATAATTAATTAAAAACTTGTCTTACATGCTTAATCCTAAGCTTATTTCATTAAAAAATTGTAAAAAGTATATTTTAATAAATTATACAAATTAAAATTACTTCCGAAACAGAAAAAATGCTTTTCGATTTTTAATAGTAACAAAATTATACAAATATAATTTTATTAGTTACTCATGTAACTTCCAAGGTATTCTTAAAACATAGTATTGTACAATTTCAATTTAAGAAAATCCGGGAAAACTGTGTCTTAAATTCCGGGAAATCCGGGATTTTGCCGGGAATTTTAAAATAAAAATTCACTAGACACCCTGTTTTTTTTTTAGTATAATATTGAAATCTTCTTCAGATCTTCTTTATTTCAATTATTAAACAAATTTTGAACTAAAATTCTTCACTAAATTAATTATTTTTAATAATTTTAATGAAATTCATCAGAAATTCAATTATTTTAAACTATTTTTCAATAAAAATTTTTGTAAAATTATATATACTAAAATAACAATTCTGTTAAAAAAATTGTTCTTTATGCAATTTTTCTCGATATAAATTCCGTTAAATTGAAATTGTATTAATTTGAAATTCAATGTACTAGAAAATCTGCTTTATATAATTTTACTAAATAAAAATTTGATAATTTAAAATTTGACGCCGTAAAAATTCTTTTAAATGAAATGTTGAGAATATTTATACGTTTCAAATTAGTTTATTTATTTCACTTAAATATTTTATTTTTTACGAAACATTATTTATTTGGTTTAATTACATATGAAATTAGTGGATAATAGACAGGTAAATGATTTAATTGTATCAAAATAAATTTTATTTGAACAAAATAAAAACTTTTTAGTCTAATTTCGGTCAGGGAAAAATTACAGATTTTTTATTAAAAAAGTCTTTTAAATAATAATAATTTTGGAAGAGTTAAAGTTGAAATTTTTAGAAATAATTGAATTTCAAAAAGATTTGGTTAATTTTCAGACAATAATTAAATTTTACAGAACTAAAAATAATTTATCAAATAATTTTATACATAACATTTTCAAAAAGTAATTGAATTTTCAAAGATTTACAATTTAGATTTTTAAAATTAATTGAACTTCAAGTGATTTTTAATTAAATTTTTTTGATAATTTCACTAAAAAATTTATTAGAAATTGCGGACAAAAATACAATAATTTGAAAACCATTTTTAATTGAAAACTGGTTTCAAATAGTTGAATATTCGAAGAATATTATAAAAATCATTAAAAACAAATTGATTTCACGAGAGTTATAATAATTGAAATTATTAAATTTCAAAAAATTTTAAATGGAAATTTTTAGAAATAATTAAATATTAGAAGCTTTTAATTTGAAATTTTTGAAAATAAATAATTGAATTTTAGTAGATTTTTGATTGAAATTTTTGAAAATAATTTAATTTTAGTTGATTTTGGATTGAGAATTTTTTCTAATTAATTTTGAATTGAAAATTTGAAAATAAATGAATTTCAATTAAAATTTTGGAAAATAATTGAATTTTAGTTGATTTTTGATTGAAATATTTGAAAATAATTTAATTTTAGTTGATTTTGGATTGAGAATTTTTTCTAATTAATTTTGAATTGAAAATTTTGAAAATAATTTAATTTTAGTTGATTTTGGATTGAGAATTTTTTCTAATTAATTTTGAATTGAAAATTTTGAAAATAAATGAATTTCAATTAAAATTTTGGAAAATAATTGAATTTTAGTTGATTTTTGATTGAAATTTTTGAAAATAATTTAATTTTAGTTGGAAAATAATTGAAGAATTTTTTAGTAATTACAGACAAAAATTGAACTTAAAAATTTTTTTCATTGCAAAATGCTTTCAGATAATTGAATTTTCGAAGAATATTATAAAAAATCATTAAAAATAATTAAAACTTTTGCAAATAATTAAATTTCAAGTGATTTTGAATTAAAATTTTTTAGTAATTTTATTTGCTAATTTTTTTCTAAATTATAAACAATTATTAAATTTCATAAAAATTTTAATTGAAAAATATTTTAAAATAATTGAATTTCTGATGAATTTCATTAAAATTATTAAAACTAATTAATTTAGTGAACAATTTTAGTTGAAAATTTGTTAAATAATTGAAATAAAGAAGATCTGAAGAAGTTTTGCATTGTATCCTGAAAAAAACGTATTTTGTTTAAAAATTTTGTAAAAAAAAAAGAATGTAAAAATAAGTCGAAAAAGTCGCATTTTATTAAAATAAGTTGAAAAAAGTCGTATTTTTGAAAAAAAGTCGGTAATAGTCGAAAAAGTCGTGTAATCCGAGGCCTTGTCCTTGATGAAATAAAAAAAAACAAATAAATAATTACTTCTGTTCATTCACATTTTTTCCTTACATAATTATTTACATCTCACCAAATTGTTTAACTGGAATGTTAAACAATTATTTTTATACCTCACTGCTGAATACAGTACTGAAGCAAATGCAGTGAATCAAGTAAGAGAATATATAATTAATATTTTAAATTAATGAATATTATTTAATGCTCAATAAAAAGTTATACATAAATAAATTTGTAATAATTTCATATTTTTAATTTCAATTAGGTCGTCTTATGGGACAAAATAATATTACGTGGTGAAGAAACGAATATTAATATGAAAAAAATGAACATGAAATACTATTTTTGGGATGATGGAAATGGTCTCAGGTGATTAAATAATGCATTAATTTTATTTTACTATTAATTTTGGTTGGGAAAATTCTAAATTTTTGTGATTGAATATTTTTAATAATTCAATTAATAAAATTTAAATTGCTAAATGATTGAATATTTAATGAATTTACTTTTGTTTTGAATTTTTTGGACAATTAAAACTAAAAAGTATGCAAAAATTTCAAATTGTTTAAATTAGATTTTGAAAAAAAATTAAAAAATGGAAGTTTAGGATTTTTTTTTTGAAATTTGTTCTATTTAATTAAAATTTTTAAAATTTATTTCAAATAAATTTTCTTTATTATATTTTTATAAAATTATTCTTATTAAGGAATTAATACAATGAATTTAATTTAATGTCTAATAACATTAGTTATTTAAAGTAAAATACTTATTAACTTAATTAAAATTTTAAAAAAATCGATTTTTCTTTAGAATGTAAATCGACTTTTTTTGTTCCTTAAAGTCGATCCGAGGCTTGTAATTTATTTAAATATATTAATATTATTTATATACTTTTTTTAAATGTATTTTCTTCTTTTGTTTCAGGGGAAATAAAAATGTGACACTATCTCTAACGTATAATATTATTCCAAATTCAGGATTACTTCCATTTGTTACTGCAACTGGATCTCATAAATTGTTATTCCCATCGGAATATACAAAATCGCGGATGTAAATTTATTTTTAAATGAAATTTAGAGGTTTTTTTTAAAAAAAATATTTGCATTTAACAACAAAAACAATTTCTGTCAAATTGTTAAAATATAAAGAAAAATAAAAATCGAAAAATCTTTTTCACAAATTCTCTGTATTTTAATTTTTAATCATTTTAAAAATTTTTTTTAAAATAAAATATTGTCCTTTTATCTTTCTTCGAAATTTGTTAAAATAAAAAAAAATAATTCTTTTAAAATTGTAATAAAGGAAATTTAATATTTCAAGAGAATAATAAAATTTGTCTTCTAATATCAAAAACAATTTGCAATAAATGTTAAAATATTATTTTTAATCAATTATTATTAATTAATAACTTGTAGAAGATGAAAAATAATTATAATGAAGTGAAATAAATTACACAGAGATGAAAATAATTGATAATTATATTTATTCCTGTAAAAATTCTTAGGCTATTTTTTTTTTTTTTTTTTTTTAATTTCACTGCAATTACCACTGCCATTCAGGTACAAAATTCTATTGCATTCAAAGGCAGATTATTGGTTTCAGACTTAAACATTAAAAGAAGAGTTACAAACATTTATAAAATATGGCATAAAGTTCCTATCACTATTTAATAATAATAAAAATTATGCATATTTTATCGTATCAAGAGGATATAGAATTTCAAAAATAATTCTAAGTCTCACTGAGCAAAAAGAACATTTTTTAGCCACTTTTTTTTTTTTTTTAATTGTATACAGAAAAAAAGCGAGTTTATTGTCACACAATATCGATGTAATTTTACATTAATATTAATAATAATCGTTGATGAAAAATTTGAATCTACAGCTTACAAAAAATATTTATTTTTTTTTTCCAAAAGGAAATTAGAAAAATGTACAAAGTTCATAAAAAATATTTTCTTTTATATAAGTAAACAGTGTATATTGTAAATTTCAAAAATTTCAATTTCATAAAATTGATATTCTTTTTAAAAGTTTGCTTAAAAAAAAAAAACAAAATTGATTATAGTCTAATATTTTATAATACTAAATCATGGACGCAAACATCACCACAGTAAAAGGTTTTGTGTCTAATTCATATATAGGCACTTAAAAAAAAAGTAGAACGAAAAAAAAATCAAAAGAAATTGATTTGATATTTTGAAAAAAAATATAATATTTAAATGCAAAATAAAATGCATCTTAAAAACTATTAATTGTCTCTTTGTGCGTTACAAATTATATAATCTAAAATATATATATATATAAATATATATTTATAATACTTTGCTTGACAGTCTTCACAAAGTAAACACCATTTTTTATTATAGAAAAAAATAACAAAATTGTGTTTAATTTTGAGACGGTGTTTTATTTCCCTGAATTCGGTTAAATTACTTAGCCTAAACATTTTTTTATTCAAATCCCTCAAAGTGCACTTTTTACAAAAAAAATATAGAAATTGGCAAATAAAGAAGTTTTTTGTGTGAAAAATATTTGTAAAATTACAAAAAAGAGAAAAAACGAAATTTTTTTTTCGAGTTTTAAAAAAGCTGCCATTGAGAAATGAAATTATCAAATTAATTTGCAAAAAAAAGAAAATTCAAAAAATCAGGAATACTTTCTTAACTTCTCTAGTACTTGGGAAGAGGATAATAATTGGGCATGAAAAAATTCCAAAAAATAGCAACGGCCATTAGGGCAGTGTAGGTAATAATGCTAATCCACCAAATAACTTTCTCCCATCGTTGAACCTCGAGATTTCGAAGGATATTAATACCAACAAGAAGGCCAGCAATTGCGCCGGCTAAATGTGCAACATAGCCAATTTGATTGTTCACATCATTATAACGATTGTAAATTGCTTGACCAACATCGACGCCAGTCACAACGATAAATACAAGTAATTGAAGAACGGCAAATTCCATTTCACGCCAATTCATTAGAATTGTTGCAACGTGCGCAGTAATTAGTGCATAAACACCACCCGATGCACCAGCTAAATAAATACCAGGATCAGAAACTGAAGTGCCAAGAGAGCCAGCTAACACTCCGGCTAGATAAATTATCAGCACTCTCCACCATTTGTGAACCATTTCCAATGGAATGCCGAGCATTATTTGCACCAAGAGATTTACCACTAGATGAAAAGCTCTGTAAAGAGAAATTAATAAATACAGTAGGGAGACTTCAATTTGCACGTGTCTGCATAAAATTTCACACTCTTTGAATTTTTTTTTTTTTTTTTAAATAGTTTGTGTATTATGTGATTATCTGCGACGCATAAAAAAGTTCTAAAAATTATTAGTTATAATTTTAACTAGCAAAATTAAACGCGCCAAATTGAGTATTTAATTGTTTGTTATAAAGAAATTAAAGATTAATATTATCAATAATAATTTAACTTCTTAGAATATTATTACATATTAAATGATAATAATAAAAATTATATGTTTACAGGCCTCGGATTATACGACTTTTTACGACTTTTTTCAAAAATACGACTTTTATCGACTTATTTTAATAAAATGCGACAATTTTTTTACATTTGAAAAAAAATGTAAATAAAATACATTTTTTTAGTATAAAATGTAGATCTTCTTCAGATCTTCTTCAATTCAATTATTTAACAAATTTTGAACTAAAATGATTCTTCACTAAATGAATTATTTTTAATAATTTTAATGAAATATATCACAAATTCAATTATATCAAAATTATTTTTCAATTAAAATTTTTATGAAATTTAACAATTGTTTATAATTTAAAAAAAATATCACAATAAAATTCAATTATTTTGTTAAAAATTTCAATTCAAAATAAACTAAAATTCAATTATTACCCGAAATTTTAATTCAAAATCAATTAAAAATCCAATAATTATCAAAAATTTTCAATTTAAAACTTAATTATTTACCAAGTTTTCAATTTAAAAAGAAATAAAATTCAATTATTTTCTAAAATATCTATTCAAAATTAATTATCCAAATTTTCAATCAAAAATGAACTTAAATTAAATTATTATCCAAAATTTCAATTGAAATTCAATTATTTTCAAAAATTTTAATATCAAATTTAATAATTACAATTATAACTCTTGTGAAATTCAATTATTTCCAAAAATTTCAATTTAAAACCTTCAATTATTTTTAATGATTTTTATAATATTCTTCGAAAGTTCAATTATCTGAAAGCATTTTGTAATTAAAAAGATTTTTAAGTACATTTTTTGTCTGTAATTTCTAATAAATTCTTTAATTATTTAAAATTTAATTATTTTCTAAAATTTCAATTGAATTTCAATTATTTTCAAAATTGTCAATTCAAAATTAATTAGAAAAAATTCTCAAACCAAAATCAATTAAAATTAAATTATTTCAAAAATTTCAATCAAAAATCAACTAAAATTCAATTATTTTCAAAAATTTTAATATCAAATTTAATAATTACAATTATAACTCTTGTGAAATTCAATTATTTACAAAAATTTCAATTTAAAAGCTTCAATTATTTTTAATGATTTTTATAATATTCTTCGAAAGTTCATTTATCTGAAAGCATTTTGTAATTGAAAAGATTTTTAAGTACATTTTTTGTCTGTAACTTCTAATAAATTCTTTAATTATTTTCCAAAATTTCAATTGAAATTCAATTATTTTCAAAATTTTCAATTCAAAATTAATTAGAAATAATTCTCAATCCAAAATCAATTAAAATTAAATTATTTTCAAAAATTTCAATCAAAAATCAACTAAAATTCAATTATTTTCAAAAATTTTAATATCAAATTTAATAATTACAATTATAACTCTTGTGAAATTCAATTATTTCCAAAAATTTCAATTTAAAAACTTCAATTATTTTTAATGATTTTTATAATATTCTTCGAAAGTTCAATTATCTGAAAGCATTTTGTAATTGAAAAGATTTTTAAGTACACTTTTTGTCTGTAATTTCTAATAAATTCTTTAATTATTTAAAATTTAATTATTTTCAACAATTGAAATTCAATTATTTTTAAAATTTTCAATTCAAAATCTTTTAAAATTCAATTATTTTCGAAATTTTCAATTCAAAATCTTTTAAAATTCAATTATTTTCAAAATTTTCAATTCAAAATCAACTAAAATTAAATTATTATCCAAAATTTCAATTAAAATTCAATTATTTTTAAAAATTTCAATTTCAAATATAATAATTTAATAATTTCAATTATAACTTTAAGGAAATTCAATTATTTTTAACTATTTTAATAATATTCTTTGAAAATTCAACTATCTGAAACCATTTTTCAATTAAAAATGATTTTCAAATTATTGTATTTTGTCCGCATTTTCTAATAAATTTTTAGTGAAATCATCTAAAATTTTAATTAAAATACACTTAAAGTTTCAATTAATTTCAAAAATCTCAATTTTAAATCTTTGAAAATTCAATTAAATTTAAAAAATGTTTTTCAAAAATTGTTTGATAAATTATTTTTAGTTCTGTAAAATTTAATACCGTAAAATGGGGTAAAGTCGGCGGTTGGGGGGTAAAGTCGGCCGGCGCTTAAAATCATTTTAAAGTTTAACTATTACTTTTTTCCAGAAGAAATCCGAGTTTTATTAAAAATGTAGTTAGAATTAATGTAAATTAATAAATGAAATACAATATTTAAGTGTTTAAAGCGCCGGCCGACTTTACCCGCAAACGCCGACTTTACCCCATTTTATGGTAATTGTTTGAAAATTAACAATATCTTTTGAAATTTAATTATTTCTAAAAATTTCAACTTTAACCCTTCGAAAGGGATTATTATTAAAAAAAAATTTTTTATTTAAAAATCTGTAAAATATTTTTGTTAAAATAAAAAACAAATCCACTTTTTTTTGGAATATTAATAGACTAAAACGACTTTTTGTGTCTATAAGTTGATTCGAGGCCTGTGTTTTTATAATTAATATTTAATAGGTATTCGTTGGCCCCTGGTACCTTAAAAATTAATTTTTAAAAATAAATTTTTTTTAAATTACTATCTTGTACGAAATTTCCTGGCGCATCTTTTTTCTGATCATAAATTTTTTGTATTTGTATACAATTTTTAAATCAATATACAACTTTAAAAAAAATTTCGTTGGTAAACGAATTTTCGAATACGAAGCTGAAGTACGCAACGTTTATATAAACGATTTTTAAAGAAATAATTTTTTAAAATGAAAAATTCTATAATTTTTTGCATAAAAAATATTTTTTGTAGTTTTCATTAATCAACAAAGTATACAAAAAATATTTTTTATGCAAAAAATTATAGAATTTTTCATTGTAAAAAATTATTTCTTTAAAAATCGTTTATATAAACGTTGCGTACCTCAGCTTCGTTTTTCGAATTTGGAATTTTAAAGAAACTTATTCCGAAATTTGGAAACACAATTATACAACATTGGCAAAAATGAGAAAAAGAATTGTCAAAATTTGACACGTCATAAGATTATTATTCAAAAAAACACGTGAAATCAGAAAAGGCCAACTTTAAGTTAGGACAGAAGGACAGACCAAGCATTTTATTATTATATAATTTTATGGAATTTCATTTGTCATAATTACTTTTGAGCGGAATTTTTATTTATTCGAATTAGTATTTTGTAGAATTTTCATCAAAACGATTTTCTATATTACAGAATTTTTATTTTCTGAAATTTTCATTTAACATAATAGGCATTTTAAAGAATTTTTAATGGGTAAAATTTCATTGCATAGAATTTTCATTTTATTCTTTCAGATGAATTTTCATTTGTTCGAAATTGCAAATGACCAAATAATGAATCGACAGAAAGATTTCAGCGCGATTTTTAAATTCAACCAATCACAATTTTATGAATAATTTTTTATTGGTTCATTTGAAAAATCGCGCCGAAATCTTTTTGTCGATTCTTTGTTCGGATAAATGAAAATTCTATCCATTAGAAATTCTGTTAAATGATTTTTCGGACACATTTAGCATTGTTTAATTGAAAAATTGAATAAATAAAAAAATAATAAAAAAAAACTTACCCAACGTGAACGAACATGTAGGTGATATACCTCCAAATTTGATATCTTTTGTAGGGATTAAAAATAAAGAGAACAGCAGCAGGTCCTTCGATAGCTGATTCTCTCCTTGATATAGTGTCAATTAAAAAGAGAATAATTTCCAATATTGAAATTATAATCATTGCCACCGCTGGCGGATGACAACTATATTCTTCCTCATATTGTCCATCAGGCAAATCACTTGAATATCTCGCTGATCTCATTGTTCCTCCCATAATTGGACGATGAGGTACCAACGAGTGCACATAACGATGCACAAAATGACCAAATATACCTTGGAAATCCTGATGATGAATCTTGAGAAATTTTTCATTAAAAAAAAAGAAAAATAAAAAATTTATCAAAATTTTCATTACCGTAGAAAATAAATAATAATTTATCATTTTTATTTTTTAAATACTTCAATTTCAATAATATTTAATCGTTACAATAAAAATAATTATTATAATAAAATTTATCAATCAATTTTATTTATCGACAAAAGAAGAATGAAGAAGAAAAAATTACTAAAAATTATAATTAAGTTAAAAATATTTCCTACATTTTTGTAATTTTATTTATCCTTTTTTGTGGTAAACAAATTTTACGAGGAAAAACAAAAAAATATGTTGAATTAATTGTTTTTTTTTTTTTTGCTTAAAATTGAACCTACCATGTTAATAAATTCGGGATAATCCAAGTGCCCTGATTCATCGACATCGGCTTTGTGCATAATTATTCGAACGACCCGTGTGGGAATGTCATTTGAAAAACCTTGACCACGAATCATTGCTTTTAATTCGTGATACGATATTTTTCCATCTCCATCAGTGTCATATTTTTCAAAAATTGCTTTCCAATGCTATAATAAAAATATTCATAATAATAATAATGTATTTAATTTAATAATTCATTTATATCGACGATTTCACGTGAAATTTAAGACGACCTCTTAAATTCAGTTATTATTTTTCCTATTTTTTAGTAAAAAAAAAAAGATTCTACATATTTTTTTTTTGTTTTTTCAGGATGTCTAACAACTGATAAGAAAAAAATTCCCTGACCTAAATTACACTAAAAAATTTTTATTTTGATCAAATAAAATTTATTTTGATACAATTAAATCATTTACCTGTCTATTATCCACTAATTTCATATCTATTTGAACCAAATAAATAATGTTTCGTAAAAATAAAATTTTTAAGTGAAATAAATAAACTAATTGGTGACGTATAAATATTCTCAACATTTAATTTAAAAAAAATTTTACGGCGTCAAATCTTAAATTATTAAACTTTTATTTAGAAAAATTATATAAAGCAGATTTTCTAGTACATCGAATTTCAAATTAATACAATTTCAATTTAACGGAATTCATCTCAAGAAAAATTGCATAAAGAACAATTTTTTTAACACAATTGTTATTTTAGTTAATTTCGATTTATCAAAATATTTACTTAACAGAATTGTCATTGAATAAATTCACAATTAACAGAATTTTTATTTAACAAAATTCTTAATTAACAAAGTTTTTATTAAAGAAAATTTTAATTCCAACTAATTCTTATTTAACTGAATTCTTATTTAAAAAGAATTCTACTTAGTTCTTTTTTTGTCTGTCAATTTTTATAGACATAAATTTCGTTAAATTGAAATTATATTAATTTAAAATTTTTAAAAAATATTAGAAAAAATGCTTTATACAAGTTCTGCTAAATAGAAATTCAAGCCTCGGATCGACTTAAAGGCACAAAAAAATTCGTTTTAGTCGATTTATATTAAAAAAAAGTCGAAAAAGTAGATTTTTTTTATTTTAATAAAAGAGTTTTACAAATTTTTAAATAAAATTTTTATTTAAATAATAATAATTTTTGGAAGAGTTAAAGTCGAAATTTTTAAAAATGATTAAATTTCAAAAGATTTCGTTAATTTTCAGAGAATAATTAAATTTTAAAGAACTAAAAATAATTTATCAAATAATTTATCAAATATTTTTAGATAACATTTTTTAAAAGTAATTGAATTTTCAAAGATTTAAGCTTGAGTTTTTTTAATTAATTGAATTTCAAGTGATTTTTAATTAAAACTTTTTGATGATTTCACTAAAAAATTTATTAGAAATTCCAGACAAAAATACAATCATTTGAAAACCATTTTTAATTGAAAAATGGTTTTAAATAGTTGAATATTCGAAGAATATTATAAAAATAGATAAAAATAATTGAATTTCACGAGAGTTATAATTGAAATTATTAAATTATTACATTTGAAATTGAAATTTTTGAAAATAATTAAATTTCAATTGAAATTTTGGATAATAATTTAATTATAGTTGATTTTGGATCGAGAATTTCGAAAATAATTGAATTTTAAAAGATTTTGAATTGAAAATTTCGAAAATAATTGAATTTTAAAAGATTTTGAATTGAAAATTTTGAAAATAAGTAATTAAATTTCAATTGAAATTTTAGAAAATAATTAAATTTTAAATAATTAAAGAATTTATTAGAAATTAAAGACAAAAAGTGTACTTAAAAATTTTTTCAATTACAAAATGCTTTCAGATAAATGAACTTTCGAAGAATATTATAAAAATCATTAAAAATAATTGAAGCTTTTAAATTGAAATTTTTGTAAATAATTGAATTTCACAAGAGTTATAATTGTATTTATTAAATTTGATATTAAAATTTTTGAAAATAATTGAATTTTAGTTGATTTTTGATTGAAATTTTTGAAAATAATTTAATTTTAGTTGATTTTGGATTGAGAATTATTTCTAATTAATTTTAAATTGAAAATTTTGAAAATAATTGAATTTCAATTAAAATTTTGGAAAATAATTGAAGAATTTTTTAGTAATAACAGACAAAAATTGAACTTAAAAATCTTATTAATTGTAAAATGCTTTCAGATAATTGAATTTTTAAAGAATATTATAAAAATAATTAAAAATAATTGAAATTTTTGCAAATAATTAAATTTCAAGTGATTTTAAATTAAAAATTTTAAGTAATTTTATTTGCTAATTTTTTTTTTAATTATAAACAATTATTAATTTTCATAAAAATTATTAAAAATAATTAATTTTGTGAAGAATTTTAGTTCAAAATTTGTTAAATAATTGAAATAAAGGAGATCTGAAGAAGTTTTCCATTTTATACAAAAAAAAACGTATTTTGTTTAAAAATTTTGTAAAAAGAAATGTAAATAAAAGTCGAATTTCATTAAAATAAGTCGAAAAAAGTTGTATTTTTGAAAAAAAGACGGAAATAGTCGAAAAAGTCGTATAATCCGAGGCCTGGAAATTCTTTTAAATCGAATTTTAGTTAAATGTAAATTGAAAATTTTGCATAATATAAAATTCACTTTATAAAATTTTTCTAAATAGAAATTCGATAATTTAAGATTCGACGCAGTAAAATTTTTTATAAATTAAATGTGGGTATTAGCATTAAATAATAAATTATTCGTATTAATGAATATTTTACTTTATTTGAAGTTGAACCGATAAAATAAAATTGTATCAAATAATTTTTATTTATATTTTAAAAAACCAAATATTTCACTGAAAAAAATTAATTAATTGTTATCCAAGTTTAAAAAATCATTAAATAGATTCAATAAATAGTAGTAAATAATTATTTACTTAATGAATATAAAATATATCACATGCTTAATAATTGAGTGTGAAGGCCAACTTTTTAATTTGCATTTGCTTTGAGAAAGAAGTAAAAATTTTTTTGAAACTAATAGTTACTAATTAACACCTCATTTATCATTAAATTAAGTAATAGATACACGGAGAAAAATGGAAAAACGAATAAAGTAACTTTTACTACTTTAAAAGTAAAATTGGACCTGTCCGAAGTTTCTGCGCATCTCTGGCAACTTTTACTCGAAAAATAGTAAAATTGACTATTTCTGTAGTAAATTTTACTGTTTCCGTAGTAATTTTTACTATTTCTGAAGTAAGTTTTACTATTTTTGGAGTAAAAGTTGCCAGAGATGCGCAGAAACTTCGGACAGGTCCAATTTTACTTTTAAAGTAGTAAAAGTTACTTTTTCTTTTTTTCCGTGTAAGTTATAAATTTATTTAAATTAAAAATAACTTAATACTAAGTTCATTTAATTTACGTTTATCAAGGTGTATAATGACTTTTTAATTATTGTTGTGTATAAATATAAAAATATTGACCTATATTGTTGAAATTTCTGAGAATTATTTATAGTGTATTAAAAAATTATGAAATTTTAAACAAAAAATTCTTTGTCTTCAAAAATTAAAATAAATGCAACTAATTGATTAATGCGAATTAGGCAATATTAAATAATTTTCAAATGTTCCTTACAAAAACAATAATAATAATAATAAAAATAAAAAATCTAAACTGTAAGTCTTGAAAAATTCCAATTATTTTTTTTTTTTTATAAATTTTTCTAAATATTTTGTAAATATTACGTACATCAAGTTAGACAAACAACTTTCGTAAAATCAAAAATGCAATATTGGAGAATTTGCCGCTAATTTGCCGCTAATTATTCGTGAAATTCCCAATTTTGCCGTTTTTGATTTAAAAAAAAAAACAGGGTGCACTGCTAACTTGATATCAAGTTAGCAGTGCAACCACTGTAAATGAAAGGATAAAAAAAATCTGAACACACATAATTTTGCCGTAAATTTGCCGTAATCAAATCCCACAATTAGTTTCTCAAAATATTTAAAAATGACACTAAACTTCACAATATTCTATCAGAATTTTCTACAATTTATATTCTTTCATCCTCACAATCATTTTAATATAATTAGTAAGTCAAAAACGACTTATTTAAATGAAGCTGAAGTACGCAATGTTTACATAAACGATTTTTTAAGAAATAATTTTTTAAAATGCAAAATTCTATAATTTTTTGCTTAAAAAAATATTTTTTTATAATTTCTTGATTAAGGGTATGTGGGAACATCTCACGTGACCTAGTATGGGAACATGTGTTTTGGTAGTATACGTATCACTCTAAAATGAAAAAAGATTTTTGTCTAACATTTTCAGTTATATAAAATGAGTAGAACTGCGAGATTCCTTGTACCGAACGAAATCATTTTTAAAAAATTTTAACCCGAAATTATTTTTTATTTCAGAGAAAGTTTAAAACCACAAAAAAACTTCCTTTGCCCACATTCCCTTAATGAAAACTACAAGAAATATTTTTTAGGCAAAAAATTATAGAATTTTTAAATTTAAAAACTTATTTCTTTAAAAATCGTTTACATAAACGTTGCCTACTTCAGCTTCGTTTATTTAAAAATAAATCTATATACTCCACTATCACACTACGACCAAATTCCACATAAAAACATACTTATCGAATCTTATTTCTGACAAAGATTTTAGACTCTACTGTTAATGTTTAGGTTTATAATTCTTACAAACGTCAAATATTTTATTTGATGTACTCTTTCTTCACGAATAATTAAATTAGCTGCTACGGCAAATTCCCAATGCATAGAAAAAGTGTCAAAATTATTTCTGACCGAAATTTTCGACTGTTCTGCTAACTTTACTTGATATTAACTACAAAAAATAATCAAACAATTTATTTGATGTACTCTTACTTCACGAATAATTAAATTAGCTGCTACGGCAAATTCCCAATGCATAGAAAAAGTGTCAAAATTATTTCTGACCGAAATTTTCGACTGTTCTGCTAACTTTTTTTCATATTAATAAAATAAAATTATTAAACAATTTATTTGATGTACTCTTACTTCACGAATAATTAAATTAGCTGCTACGGCAAATTTCCAATGCATAGAAAAAGTGTCAAAATTATTTCTGACCGAAATTTTCGACTGTTCTGCTAAATTTTCTTGATATTAACTACAAAAAAATATGAAACAATTTATTTGATGTACTCTTTCTTCACGAATAATTAAATTAGCTGCTACGGCAAATTCCCAATGCTTAGAAAAAGTGTCAAAATTATTTCTGACCGAAATTTTCGACTGTTCTGCTAACTTTTTTTCATATTAATAAAATAAAATTATTAAACACTTTATTTGATGTACTCTTACTTCACGAATAATTAAATTAGCTGCTACGGCAAATTCCCAATGCATAGAAAAAGTGTCAAAATTATTTCTGACCGAAATTTTCGACTGTTCTGCTAACTTTTCTTGATATTAACTACAAAAAATAATCAAACAATTTATTTGATGTACTCTTTCTTCACGAATAATTAAATTTGCTGCTACGGCAAAATCCCAATGCATAGAAAAAGTGTCAAAATTATTTCTGACCGAAATTTTCGACTGTTCTGCTAACTTTTTTTCATATTAATAAAATAAAATTATTAAACACTTTATTTGATGTACTCTTTCTTCACGAATAATTAAATTAGCTGCTACGGCAAATTCCCAATGCATAGAAAAAGTGTCAAAATTATTTCTGACCGAAATTTTCGACTGTTCTGCTAACTTTACTTGATATTAACTACAAAAAATAATCAAACAATTTATTTGATGTACTCTTACTTCACGAATAATTAAATTAGCTGCTACGGCAAATTCCCAATGCATAGAAAAAGTGTCAAAATTATTTCTGACCGAAATTTTCGACTGTTCTGCTAACTTTTTTTCATATTAATAAAATAAAATTATTAAACAATTTATTTGATGTACTCTTACTTCACGAATAATTAAATTAGCTGCTACGGCAAATTTCCAATGCATAGAAAAAGTGTCAAAATTATTTCTGACCGAAATTTTCGACTGTTCTGCTAAATTTTCTTGATATTAACTACAAAAAAATATGAAACAATTTATTTGATGTACTCTTTCTTCACGAATAATTAAATTAGCTGCTACGGCAAATTCCCAATGCTTAGAAAAAGTGTCAAAATTATTTCTGACCGAAATTTTCGACTGTTCTGCTAACTTTTTTTCATATTAATAAAATAAAATTATTAAACACTTTATTTGATGTACTCTTACTTCACGAATAATTAAATTAGCTGCTACGGCAAATTCCCAATGCATAGAAAAAGTGTCAAAATTATTTCTGACCGAAATTTTCGACTGTTCTGCTAACTTTTCTTGATATTAACTACAAAAAATAATCAAACAATTTATTTGATGTACTCTTTCTTCACGAATAATTAAATTTGCTGCTACGGCAAAATCCCAATGCATAGAAAAAGTGTCAAAATTATTTCTGACCGAAATTTTCGACTGTTCTGCTAACTTTTTTTCATATTAATAAAATAAAATTATTAAACACTTTATTTGATGTACTCTTTCTTCACGAATAATTAAATTAGCTGCTACGGCAAATTCCCAATGCATAGAAAAAGTGTCAAAATTATTTCTGACCGAAATTTTCGACTGTTCTGCTAACTTTACTTGATATTAACTACAAAAAATAATCAAACAATTTATTTGATGTACTCTTACTTCACGAATAATTAAATTAGCTGCTACGGCAAATTCCCAATGCATAGAAAAAGTGTCAAAATTATTTCTGACCGAAATTTTCGACTGTTCTGCTAACTTTTTTTCATATTAATAAAATAAAATTATTAAACAATTTATTTGATGTACTCTTACTTCACGAATAATTAAATTAGCTGCTACGGCAAATTTCCAATGCATAGAAAAAGTGTCAAAATTATTTCTGACCGAAATTTTCGACTGTTCTGCTAAATTTTCTTGATATTAACTACAAAAAAATATGAAACAATTTATTTGATGTACTCTTTCTTCACGAATAATTAAATTAGCTGCTACGGCAAATTCCCAATGCTTAGAAAAAGTGTCAAAATTATTTCTGACCGAAATTTTCGACTGTTCTGCTAACTTTTTTTCATATTAATAAAATAAAATTATTAAACACTTTATTTGATGTACTCTTACTTCACGAATAATTAAATTAGCTGCTACGGCAAATTCCCAATGCATAGAAAAAGTGTCAAAATTATTTCTGACCGAAATTTTCGACTGTTCTGCTAACTTTTCTTGATATTAACTACAAAAAATAATCAAACAATTTATTTGATGTACTCTTTCTTCACGAATAATTAAATTTGCTGCTACGGCAAAATCCCAATGCATAGAAAAAGTGTCAAAATTATTTCTGACCGAAATTTTCGACTGTTTTGTTAAGTTTTTTTGATATTTACTATAAAAATTATTGAAACAATTTGTTTGACTTACTTATTTATCATGAATAATTAAATTAGCTGATACGACAAAATAACAATGCATAGATAAAGTGTCAAATTTAATTCAGAACGAGATTTTTGACTGTTTTGCTATCTTTTTCCTTTTTTTAATTATAAGAATCAATTAATTAATTAAATTGACGTATTTTTTCTTTTCGAATAATTAAATTAGCTGATACGGCTAATTCCGAAAGCACAAGAAATGTGTCTTTGTATGTTTATGAATAATTAAAATTGTCCAATCATTGATTTGACTTATATTTCCTATATTATATTTATTATATAATATATAATTACATAGTATATAATATATATTATAATTTTATATAATTCGAATAATTAAATTAGATGTTATGCCAAAATCTCATAGCAGAACCTAGATATTAAAAATATGAAAATGTAAAAAATGCGGAAATCAAAACCAGAAAAATTTTTTGGTTTCTGACCCTTTTTGACTTTTATAACAATATTAATATTAATTGTTTCAGTAATTTTTGTAATAAATATCAAAAAAACTTAGCAAAACAGTCGAAAATTTCGGTCAGAAATAATTTTATCACTTTTTCTATGCATTGGGATTTTGCCGTAGCAGCTAATTTAATTATTCGTGAAGAAAGAGTACATGAAATAAATTGTTTGATTATTTTTTGTAGTTAATATCAAGTAAAGTTAGCAGAACAGTCGAAAATTTCGGTCAGAAATAATTTTGACACTTTTTCTATGCATTGGGAATTTGCCGTAGCAGCTAATTTAATTATTCGTGAAGAAAGAGTACATCAAATAAAATATTTGACGTTTGTAAGAATTATAAACCTAAACATTAACAGTAGAGTCTAAAATCTTTGTCAGAAATAAGATTCGATAAGTATGTTTTTATGTGGAATTTGGTCGTAGTGTGATAGTGGAGTATATAGATTTATTTTTAAATAAACGAAGCTGAAGTAGGCAACGTTTATGTAAACGATTTTTAAAGAAATAAGTTTTTAAATTTAAAAATTCTATAATTTTTTGCCTAAAAAATATTTCTTGTAGTTTTCATTAAGGGAATGTGGGCAAAGGAAGTTTTTTTGTGGTTTTAAACTTTCTCTGAAATAAAAAATAATTTCGGGTTAAAATTTTTTAAAAATGATTTCGTTCGGTACAAGGAATCTCGCAGTTCTACTCATTTTATATAACTGAAAATGTTAGACAAAAATCTTTTTTCATTTTAGAGTGATACGTATACTACCAAAACACATGTTCCCATACTAGGTCACGTGAGATGTTCCCACATACCCTTAATCAAGAAATTATAAAAAAATATTTTTTTAAGCAAAAAATTATAGAATTTTGCATTTTAAAAAATTATTTCTTAAAAAATCGTTTATGTAAACATTGCGTACTTCAGCTTCATTTAAATAAGTCGTTTTTGACTTACTAATTATATTAAAATGATTGTGAGGATGAAAGAATATAAATTGTAGAAAATTCTGATAGAATATTGTGAAGTTTAGTGTCATTTTTAAATATTTTGAGAAACTAATTGTGGGATTTGATTACGGCAAATTTACGGCAAAATTATGTGTGTTCAGATTTTTTTTATCCTTTCATTTACAGTGGTTGCACTGCTAACTTGATATCAAGTTAGCAGTGCACCCTGTTTTTTTTTTTAAATCAAAAACGGCAAAATTGGGAATTTCACGAATAATTAGCGGCAAATTAGCGGCAAATTCTCCAATATTGCATTTTTGATTTTACGAAAGTTGTTTGTCTAACTTGATGTACGTGTAAATATTAGTGTTTTACTGTTTTTTATTAATATTTTATAAAAAAAAAACAATTCAAAAACTGTTTAAAATAAAAATTATTTTAAAACAAATTTTATTCATTTTTATAAATATATTGAATTTATAAAATAATTTAAATAATAAATTTATTATTATTATTATTATTATTAAATACTACGTTTGGTTTATTTGTAAATAAATAGAAATTTAAAAATTATGAGAAAAAATTGTGTTTTAGTCTTAAAAAAAAAAAAATTAAAAATAAAATTAAAAAATTCAATTTTTTCAAAATACATACAGAATCATTGTATTGCAATGGAATTGCAGTTTCCACTTCTCGTGTTGTCGTCATTATTATAATAAGTGATCTGAAAAATGAAAACGTGAGAATTAATTAAATACAGAAATGATTTTTTTTTTCTTCATTTCCTAAATCGATTGTTTGCTTATTAATAATTTTTCGTATAAAATTCACTGAAATTAAAATCATTCAAAGAAATTACAAATAATTGAAGAAATCATTTTTGAAGAATCATTTCCGAGAATTTATCCACAGTAAATTGAATACGGAAACAATAAATGTATCTGATATTTCAAAAGTTTTAAATCAAATAGAAAATGAATCATCATACACCAGCGAGTAATGTTAACTTTTCTTGATAAGTGATAAAAGAAAAAAAAAGGAGATTCAGTTTTATTATATTACAAGGAATTTTCATGATACTAATTTAAAATAGATATAAAATATTATATTTTAAAAAGAGTTTAAATTTATTTAAATTAAGATTTAAATTAAAAAATTGTCTACATTAAAATGTTTTTAATTTTTTTTTTTTTTTATATAAATATAATTTTTCACATTTAATTTTGTATATTTTAAGATTCAAAATTTATTCTTTAATCTATTGGCGAATATTCAATTGACAATTTATCCAAAGTTAATTAAATTTTTGAAAATAAAAAATTTTGAAAAGACGAATTTTTTAAAAATATTTGTTTAAATATCCTTATATTTAAATTGTAAATTTATTTTTAAAATATTATAATTATTTTATTACAATTAAAATTATTTTATTTTATTATTTTTATTTTTTAATTTTAATTTTATTTTTTTTTATTATTTTTTTTTATATAAAATAATAAATTTTAAATAATATTTCATTTCATTTCATTTTTTTTATAATATTTGGAGCTTTTATAGAATTAAATTCCAAATATTTTTTTTCTCACTATTATATAATTAGTAAAAAGAATTTAAAGTTATTAAAGTTGCAAAAATCAAAAATTTTTTAAAAAATTTCTTTTTAAATAATTTTAGTTCAACATTTTTTTTATCTAATATTTTCAAAAAAAAAAAGTTTTTGCAATAATAATAATAGTAATTCAAACTTTTTAACGTAAAATATTAAAAAATTATTGATTTTTTAGAAAAAAAATTAAATTTTTAAACAATTTTGAAAAATATAAATTGTTGAACAATTTTTTGTATTTTAAAATAAAAATATTCATTTTTTTTATGTTTTTATTATTAAAATTTATCGTTTAAATATTTAAAAAAAATTACAAATGAATTTTTGAAAAATGTTACGTAAGTGAAAAGAAAGAATTAATTAAAAAAAAAAAGATTTAAATCGAAAAAATCGGTTTAAAAAAAAATCCCCTTTATTTATCAGTCGTTAATAATAAAAATTATCTGAAAATTTGTTGATTAATAATTTTTTCAATTCAATAAAATTAATGTATATTTATTAAATAAATTCAATGTTTGTAAACATAATTTTCTTCGAATTATTAAAAACTTGTATAGAATTGTCAAAATAATAAAAGACGGAAAATTAAAATTTATCACTAAAAAAAAGCAGTTTTTGATAAAAACAAAATTGAAAAAAAGTTATTCTAGATTTTTTGCTTGTTTGTAAAAAAAATATATATTTATTTTGTCTAAAATTTTACGAAAGCCAAAATTTTATTAAGAAAAATGCATCAAAAGAAAAGGAAAAAAAAATTTTAAACATTTAAAAAAAAGGTTTTTTTTTATAATTATAATAGAAATAAAAAGGCGTGTATTTACCGTTATACAGCAACAAACTAACAATTGTATAATTGACACTATTTCACTTAAAAGGCACAATTCGTTAAATTTTAATTAGATAAACTACAGAATCAGATTAATATTAAATGTGATTAAAATCTAAACAATTGAAGTTGCTCTCCCTTGCACTAATTGTATTTGTGGAACATTGACTCATTCTTATAACTTCCCATTAAAATAAAATTACAGTGTTTGTTTTTCTTTGAAGTGTGCCGAAAAAACGGTATATCCCCCACCCTTGCCAAACATGAATCAAGTGAATATAACCAAGATTGGGTAGTTATATTTTAAAATGTATTCTCTCCACATGGAGAGAGTTGAGAAAAGATTTCAGCCAATCAGGCGATTGCAGGGGATTTTTCAATTGCCTGATTGGCTGAAATCTATTCTACTAATGGTGTCACGTCCTGGGTTTGATGTGAAGGTGGTTTTTCGATATTCGATATATCGAATCGACTTAGTGGATTCTTTGTACCTTAATTACCGTTTGAAAACGGACACTGATTTGAATTTTTGTCCAATTCACTTTGAATTAAGGAATTTATTTGATATTTGTAGGTTCATTAAATAAATAAACGTTCTTTTTAATTGGAAAAACCCCTTTAGGTAAAAAAACAATTTTATTTAGTAATTTACAGTTTTATTTCACACTGAATTAACTTATTTAATCAATTCGCAAAAAATAAATAGCACGCTTTTTTGTACTAAAATTTTTCCCTGATTTTTGTTATAAAATATGTCCTTATATACCCTAGCTCCCACTACTACTTAATTGGGGGAGGTAGCTCCGCCCATTGATTCGTCCAATCAAATGATGCCACGTCACATGAATATTTTTTTAAATATTAAATATTTATTTATATCTAATTACTATATTATTTATTATTACAAATCAGATTTTATTCTAATATTAACTTAGTTATTTATAAATAGAAATCATTTTTATTTAAGATGGATGAAAAATAATTAATTATTAATTAATTTTTTATTTATAATTATCGTGTGGTTATTTTTACAAGTTTAAACATTAAAATTTTCATATTTAAATTTACAAGTCTCAATAGAAATTTCTCTTTTAGTAATATTATGTGTAGTTCAGGTTTGTCACGTCGGTATGTTACTAGAATCAAGATGCCAGACGTCATATATGGTAACTTTCCAGAAATGCGCCACTGGACAAATGTGACTGTACCTTAAAGGTGCTTATATACCTCAAATTTCGATCAGATAAACATTATTTCTGGACCGTGAAAATGCGTGAAAAGTCATTTTCACGGCGGGTATTTTTGAATTGTTTTAAACAAAAAATGTTTTTTTAAGAAATATAATATTAAATAATTGTTTTAATATGTAAGAACACTTTAAAATAATGATAGAGAGATGATTTGATTGAAAAATTTAGCAAATTTTGCTTTAAAACGTTTCTGCTACAAGAAAGTGTAAAATGACGATGTTTGTGAAATGGTTTCTACAGTGTACATGTGTACATGTTTCTTTCAGTTATTCGAAACAATTAGTTGAATTTAAATTTATTTGATAAATATTTCAACTTACCGATTTATTTTCAGCACTCATTATTTATTACAAGTTAAAAAGAACCGACATAACATAAACAAAACTCTGAGAGACACTAACAAGGAAGAAGCACTGTACAAACCATTTCACAAACATCGTCATTTTACACTTTCTTGTAGCAGAAAACGTTTTAAAGCAAAATTTGCTAAATTTTTTAATCAAATCATCTCTTTATCACTATTTTAAAGTGTTCTTACATATTAAAACAATTATTTAATATTATATTTCTTAAAAAAACATTTTTTGTATAAAACAATTCAAAAATACCCGCCGTGAAAATGACTTTTCACGCATTTTCACGGTCCAGAAATAATGTTCATCTGATCGAAATTTGAGGTATATAAGCACCTTTAGGCTATGTTTTACTGTAGTTTCACATTTCAGATCTTGTACCTCACGTACTTTATTATTACTACGAACCCATCCCTGATTTTCAATGTTTATGTTTTCCTATATATATATCAACAAAGTATTTTGTTTTCGTGATATTTGAATCTTTTTTTTTATATTTAAAAAACATTTTTACCAATAATTGCATCATTATGTGTTTTATATAAATTTTTTAACGTCTCTAGTATTAATTAATATAGTTATTTTATAATTATTTTGTTCATAAAAAGAGGTTAAATATTAATTCCCCAGTTATAAGTATATAAAAAAATCACACCTGTTGAAACGTGTTTATTATTTGTTTATTTCTTCAAATATTACTAAATTTCATTCAATGTTTACAAATAATTCTATCAAGTGTTAAATTTTGTGTCGTTATTAAAAAGAAAAAAAAAATGGATAGAAGAAAAATAAAATCGAATAATGCAATGTTAAGTAGGTTAGGTTTAAAAACAACCGGCAGAAATGATGAACAAAGTGGAAGTCAAATTTCAATGCGTACACAATCATCAACATCGTCAAGTTTTCGTCAAGTTATTCCATCGACTAAAAGAAAACACGAGCGCGATAATAATAATGATGATAATGATGATAATAAATCATCGCAAATTTCAATAATGTTAGATTCGACATCGAAAAAAAGACGAAATGATCAATCGGAAGAAAATCAGGAATCAATTCATGGAAATAGACCACCAAGTGTATTATCGGATTGTGCTTCACAAAGTTCAATTCGAACACCTTCGGTGATGAGCAAATTTTTAAGTATGAGTAAAAAAAATCCAGAAAAATCAACATCTACTTCCATTTCAAAATTGCCAATTATTAAAAGTCAAGAAAAAAGGTAAGATTTCTTTTATTTTCACTCTTTTTTTTTGTTTTTCATTTTTTTTAATATTAATATTTTATTTGTATTTATTAAATTATATTTTTAATTTATTTGATATTAATTAATATTTTTGGGAATTATATTAGTTTTTTTTTTACGAGTAAGGGGGAAAAAAAATTTTTTTTTTGAAAAATCAAGGGAGAAGTTTAATTAATTTCTATTTGTTCAGAAAAATTGTTTATATTTTCAACGAATTAGATAATTTTTAAAAATTAGAAATATTAATTTGTTAATTTAAAATAGTGCTGCCAAGCGATAGAAAAATTGTTTTTTTTTTAGATTAATACAGACCTCGGATTATACAATTTTTTTGAAAATACGACTTTTTTCTACTTTTTTTTTTTTTTTTTTAAATAAGATGCAACTTTTTCGAATATTTGAAGAAAATTTTTGTAAAATTTTTAAACAAAATACGTCTACTTTATATATTTTTTATTTCAATTATTTAACAAATTTTTCTCTAAATTAATTATTTTTAAAAATTTTAATAAAATTTCTATTTCAAATTCAATTATCTTAAATTATTTTTCAATCAAAAATTTTACAAAATTCAACAATATTGTTTACTATTTAAAAAAATAAAATAAAATTACTAAAAATTTCAATTTAAAAACTTTCAGTCTCGGATTTTTAATAATTTTAATAAAATAAAATGTAACGTAATAAAATTACTAAAAAATTTTAATACAAAATCACTTGAAATTTAATTATTTGCAAAAATTTCAATTATTTTTAATGATTTTTATAATATTCTTTGAAAATTCAAGTATCTAAAAGCATTTTTCAATTAAAAACTTTTAGAATTAAATTTTTTTATGTGATTTCTAATAAATTCTTCATTAACAGAAATCCCTAAAAATTTCTCTTATTACAATTATTGTCTGAAATTAAACACAATTTTTTGAAATTCCAGAGTGTCTAACGGTCAGGAAAGTCAGGGAAAAATCATAGAATTTCTTTAATTTTCTGGAATTTTTTATGAAAAAATTTAAGGAACTATTAGTTTCAAAATTTTTTTTACTTTTTTTTCAAAGGAAATCCAAATTAAAAAGTTGGAATTCACACTCAATTATTAAGCATGTGATATATTTTATATTCATTAAGTAAATAATTATTTACTACTATTTATTGAATCTAATAAATGATTTTTTAAACTTGGATAACAATTAATTAATTTTTTTCAATGAAATATTTGGTTTTTTAATATAAATAAAAATTATTTGATACAATTTTATTTTATAGGTTTCAACTTCAAATAAAGTAAATTATTCATTAATACGAATAATTTATTATTTAATGCTAATATCCAAATTTAACTTATAAAAATTTTTGACTGTCACGAATATTAAATAATCGAATTTCTATTTAGCAAAATTGTATAAAGTGGATTTTATATTATGCAAAATTTTCAATTTACATTTAACTAAAATTCAATTTTAAAAGAATTTCTAGGCCTCGGATTATACGACTTTTTCGACTATTTCCGTTTTTTTTTTCAAAAATACAACTTTTTTCGACTTATTTTAATAAAATGCGACTTTTTCGACATTTTTTTTTACAAAATTTTTAAATAAAATACGTTTTTTTTTAGTATAAAATGGAAATCTTCTTCAGATCTTCTTTATTTCAATTATTTAACAAATTTTGAACTAAAATTTTTCACAAAATTAATTATTTTTAATAATTTTAATGAAATTCATCATAAATTCAATTATTTTAACCTATTTTTCAATTAAATTTTTTATGAAAAATAATTGTTTATAATTTAAAAAAAAAATTAGCAAATAAAATTACTTAAAATTTTTAATTTAAAATCACTTAAAATTTTATTATTTGCAAAAATTTCAATTATTTTTAATGATTTTTATAATATTCTTTGAAAATTTAATTAAGTATCTGAAAGCATTTTTCAATTAAAAACTTTTGAAATTTAATTTTTTTTATGTAATTTCTATAATATATTCTTCTTCAACAGAAATCATTAGAAATTTCTATTATTATAATAATTATTGTCTGAAATTTAACATAATCTTTTGAAATTCAATTATTTCCAAAAATTTCAATTTAAAAGCTTCAATTATTTTTAATGATTTTTATAATATTCTTCGAAAATTCAATTATCTGAAAGCATTTTGCAATTAAAAAGATTTTTAAGTACACTTTTTGTCTGTAATTTCTAATAAATTCTTCAATTACCTTGAAATTCAATTTTTCTTGGGATAAATTCCGTTAAATTGAAATTGTATTAATTTGAAATTCGATGTACTAGAAAATCTGCTTTATATATATTATATATATATTTATATAATTATTCTCATTAAAGAATTAATAAAATGAATTTAATATCTAATAACATTAGTTATTTAAAGCAAAATATTGATTAATCATTTAAATTTTATTAATAAAAAAAATCGATTTTATTTGCTTTTTTTTGGAATCTAAATTGACTAAAGCGACTTTTTTTGTGCCTTAAAGTCGATCCGAGGCCAGCCTTTTAAAATTTAATTATTTTTAGAATTTTACATCTTAAATTTTTTGAAATTTAATAATTTCAATTATAACGCTTCCGAAATTTAATTATTTTTTAATAATTTATATAAATTTCTTCGAAAATTCAATTATCTGAAAGCATTGAATTTTTAATAAATTCTTCAGCAACAGAAATCGCCAAAAAAAAATTTCAATTAAAAAATCACTTGAATTCAATTATTTTCAAAAATTTTAATTTTTAATTTCTAAAATTCGTTGATTTTTCTTTAAAATTTTCTTTTCAATATTATATATTATTATAAATTAACTTTTTATTTTAGTATTCCATCTCAAAAGACGCCAGTAAAAAATCCAAGTCCAAAACCAACGACATCTTCTGTAAGTCCAAATACATCAGAATTTGAGAGGCAATTAACTCAAAGTGATGATGAAATGTCACCAGTGAGACAAGTTTTAGGAATAAAAGAAAGTAATGAATCAGCAAAAAAACGAATAGAACGAGAACTCACAACACCATCAAAAAATGGTGGTAGTGATTCTGATCAAAATATTTTCAGTAGTGGTTCGTCATCATCAAAAAAACGAGGAAATTTCTCTCTTAGAACTCCAAATGATAAAAATAACGATAATGAAGAATCAAATTCAAAAAAAGCAAAACGAAGATTACTTGCAAACGATGATGATATCAGTCCAATAAGGGGGAATATTTTCTCTTCTACCAGGTTATTTTTTTTTCTCTTTTTTTATATTATACCTTTATTTATAATATATTTTATAGTAAATAAATTTTATAAAAAATATATTTTTATATAAATATATATTTTTACAGAAATATATTCTTATACAAATATATTTTATATTTTTATTACATATAATATATAAATTATTTTAGAAACGATGAGGTAAATAAAATTAGCAGTTTATTTTCTCCCGTACGACCAGTGAGAAATGAATTGGAATTTTTAACACCAGGACCAATTCAAACGAGAAATAAATTTATTGCATTTTTAGCTGATTCACGTGTTACATTAATAAAGGGAGAAGCACCTCATCAAATAAGTGAGTTTCATTTTTTTTTTTTAAATAATATAATTTCTTCTTGCTTTTTTCAAATGACAATTTTTATTTTCAATATTATTGAGAATTTAACATAACATATTTTATTAATTTTTGATTGGTGGAAATTTAACTGATAATCTTTTGAAACTTTAACTTCTTCGACAATTTATTTACTTTAAATAAACTAAACTTTATTTTACTCCAAATAAACTAAACGTTTAAAAATTTACAATTTCTAAAGTTAATTCAAATGTAAATTCAAAAAACAATTTTTTAACTCAGAAAAATTGAAGAATTATTATTTATCAACTAAAAATTTTGTTAGGAAAAATAAAAAAGTTTTCAAAATAATTCAAAATTTAAAAATTTTTAAATAAATTTTTTTTTCTCAGAAATGATTAAATGATTTAATTTAATATTTATTAAATTTGAATAATTAAATAAATTGGTTTTAAAGTTTTTAAATTTTTTTTTCCTTTTAAATCACATTCCAGACGGAGATCCAAATGATATAAAAATTAATATGAAAAAATTACTACAAAGGGGATATAATAAAGAAGAAATTTCAGAGGGTTGGAAAGATTTTATTGATAATGATAATAATTTAAAGAAAGCAACACAAGATTTAAAGGTTATTCATGATGGACAACCTTTTCCCAGTTGGTATAATACATCGTTAATTAAACTTTTATTACAAATTGCCGAGATACAAAAACCATTATTAGAACATCTTCTACAAAAATTAAACGAAGTTATTCTTGAAGCGTATGTGTTACCTTTAAATTATTTTTAATACTTTTACTTCTGTTTTTTAAGGTGATATATTAACCAAGTTTTCAATAATTAAATTATTATTTAAAAAAAAATTTCATTTATTTATTAAAATTATAAAAATTAGTTATTAATTTAATTTTATCTTTTTTCTTATTTTTCTTTATTTATTTATTTAATTCTGTTTTTGTTTTTGAAAATTATTATTATTTTTTTTTTTGTTAGAACTGACGCAGAAAGCGTACCTTGGGCATTCACAATAATACAACAAATAAGATTCTTAGAATTTATTGTCGATCCCGAATCGTTGACAACAAAAATTAGAGAACTCATTGAAGCAACTCCAGTTTGGTTTCAAAAAGAATTAATTGTCTTTCTACCTGATATTGTCATTGATTCTCAACATCATGAAATCTCGGAAATTCTTTTAACATTACTTGAACGTTGGCCAGAATTAATAAATGTCATTCTTGATACACTTTCAACTTTTTCCTTTGGTAAAATGCAATTTGAAGATTTAAGAAGTAAACTTATTGATATGCTCGAAACAGCTGATCCTAATAATGTTCCCGCCATTAGCAGGTAAAAGAAAAAAAATCAAAATATTTCCAAAATTCTTATTTCTTTGAAATAATTATTATTATCTTTTTTAAATTTTATTCTCTTCTTTTTTTTTTTGTAAAAATATATAATTTTTTTTCCCCATTTAGATTTATCTTGCGCAATTGTAATGAGGAGAGGCCAGCGGAAGAATTTTTAAAAATATTGCGCACAGTTCATTTGGAGCCATTGCCAAATACAAAACTTGAAGAATGTTACGCAAATCAAATGGAAACGGTTCAAATAATTAAACAGGCAATGAAAGCATTTAAAAAAGTTGTTCATGCAACTGCAAATGTTCTTAAAACAACATATGATGAACAAAAACCAATGGATATAATTTATTTACTCGTTTTATTTGATTCTGGTGGTTCAACGCAAAAAATTGCCGAATCAATACTCAAACAACATATTCGCTCTGGATATTATAGATTGAGTTCATTTAAAACTTTCTACAGGGAATATGTCGAGGTATGTATTTAAAATATATATATATATCTAATTATTAAAAAAGAAATGATAAATCATGTCCAAACACATTTCAATTTTTTCATAAGACACCATCTTTAGTTGCAAAAATGAACTAAATATAAAAAAAAAAAAAAAAAAAAAAAAAATTGGTATTTCCTTTACGTAATATGTAACAATTTCCAGAGAGAATTTTTGCAATAACAATATTTTATAATAAAATTTGAAGTTTAAAAAGTAGTAAACAAATTTTTCGTTTATTTCAACGTTCAAGACTTTAGGCACATTCAATAAGTTTTAAAATTAATTTGTTAAAATTTTCAATTGAGAGAATTGAATTATCCCAAATTTACTTCTACAGGGTTGACACAGAATTTTCATTCTAATTTTTTCTGACTTCCAGACAATATTTTGTGTTTTTTCTTAACATTTTCGAATTTTATTCATTTTTGTTAAATGTGAATTCTATTTTAATAAAAAAAAAAAAAAATTGATAAATCGGGGTTGCCACGGGTCAGGGTAATCAGGGAATTTTATGAAAAGTACTGGAAAAATATCAAATTTTTAAAAATATTACTAAAAATATAATTTTTGAAATTTTCAATTCAAACTTTTGCTTCTAAAAATTATTGTCTTACATTTTTATAATTCTAGGCCTCGAATCGACTTTTGAAAGGAAAAAAAAGTCATAAAAAAAGTCTAAAAAGTCCATTTTTTTATTTTCAATAAATTTAATTGGTTGATAAATAATTTATTATTATTAACAATTTGTTTTTAGAAATTAAATAAAAGTTATTAATTCCTCAATACCTAAAAATGTTTCACAGAAATATTCTCAAGAATTTTTTATTTTAAACCACTGAATTAAACTGAGACAAATTTTCAAGATTTCAATTTAGTTTCAGAACAAATTTTCAAAAATAATTTAAAGTTACATTAAAAAAAAAAGAAAATTTTTCTAGTCTGATTTATGCAAATTATTTAAATTCAGAATTTCGGAAAATGTTTTAAATAACTAAATTTTCGAAGAATTTCATTGAAATATTATTGAAAAAAAAATTAATTTAAAATCAGAAATTTGTGAAATAATTGAATTTCCGAAGATTTTTAATTAAAATTTTAAAAATAATTGAAAATGGAACAGATTGATTTAAAATTATTAGAAATAATTGAATTTCCGAAGATTTTCAATTGAAACTTTAATGAATTTGAATTAATAAATTTTTTTTACACATTTCAGACAATAATTGAATTTTAGAGAATTTTCAACTAAAATATGTTCTAAATAATTTAATTTTAATGGAGTTAGAGTTAAGATTTTTAAAAATAATTGCATTTTTTGAAATTAAAAAAAATTATAATTTTGTTGTAAATATAAACATTAATTGAAAAACCATTTAAATAATTGAATTTTGGAAAAATTGGATTAAAACTGTTGAAATAATTAATTAAACAAATAATTATGTAGATAAAAATTTGGGAACAAAATTTTCAATTGAATTAACATTCAAATAATTATTCAATTACTAATTGAATTTGAAAGAGTTGGAGTTAAAATTTTTTTGGAAGTAATTAAATTTCAGAAGATTTTAAATTGAAACTTTCATAAATTTTCATTGAATAAATTTTTTTCACAAACTTTAAAGAATAATAGAATTTTACAGTATTTTTAATAAGAAAACTTTTTATTACCCTGAATTGTTGGAAAACTGTATTAAAGTAATTAAAAAAATTAATTTAGCGAAGAATTTTAAACAAAATTTTTAGAAATAATTGAATTATAGAGAATTTTCAATTAAAATTTTAATAAACTTGAATTATTGAAAGTTTTTAAAAATTTTATAAACAAAAATTAAATTTTAAAAAGTTAATAATTAAAAAACGTTTTATGTGATTGAATTTTTGAAAAATTTGATTAAAGTTACAAGAAATAATTAATTTAAAAAAGAAGTTGAAATTAAAATTTTTAGGAATAATTGAATTTTGGAAGAACAATAGTTAAAATTTTTGGAACTAATTGAATTTCTGGAGATTTTTGATTAAAATTTTCGTAAATTGTATTAATTATTCAATTAAATTATTCAACAATTTCAATTTTAGATAGAAAATTTAGAAATAATTGTATTTTAGAAGAGTTCGACTTAAAATTTTCAGAAATAATAATTGAATTTTAGGAGATTATTAATTGAAACTTTCATTTTGAATTGGTGAAATTTTTTTTTTAAACTTTAGACAATAATTGAATTTTAGTGAATTTTCAATTGAAAACTGTTTTAAATTATATGTATTTTCGAAGAATTTGTTTTAAATTAACTGAAAATAATTGATTCTCCAAACAATTCGAGTTAATAAATTTTTTTTTATAATTCAATTTTAAAAAAATAGAAAAAAAGTCGAAATAGTCGTGCCTGTTATTAAAAACCTTTTGAAATATTTTCATTAAAGTCAGGAAAAAAATTTTAATTTTGACTTGAAATCAGGGAAAAGAGCAGGAAAAAATAAAATATTATTCTTGTGTCAATCATGTAAATGAAAATTCGATCATATGATAATTATAACAAATTTATTTTACAATATATATTCATACGTCACATAATTTGATAAGTTGAAGCATAATATTCGCATAATATTGAAGTATTTTCGTCAATATTTTATTTTTAATTATTTTATTTCTGAAAAATTTTATTTAAATAGATACAATATTTAAGTTTTAGAGAATATTTTTATCAAAAAATTTTTCCAAAATAAATTGGCACTAAATTTTAATTTTAAAATTTTGTTTATATATAATTAAATTTTAGAATATTAATAGTTAATTTTTTACAACAATAAAATTTCAGATGACTTTCACTTGAAAAATTTTAATATTTAAAAATAATACCTACATGAAAAACTCTATACATTTAAAAAAAAAAAAAAAAAAAAAAAAAAATGAATACTTTCTCATTTATGATGAGAATATAAAAATTGATTTAGAATTTTGAAAATGATTTGATGTTTCGTAGAGAGATGGGATTAAAGTTTTATTAAATTCAGGTAGGACGTGATTTACAATCAAGTGCATTAACATTAGCGAGTAATCTTGTAAAATCAGACGATCGTGTCTATGCAGAACTTGGAATTGAATGGTTTGTCTTGATATTTATGAGTCAAACGGAAAATTATAAACAACGGCAAGTGTTGGATAAAATTTTACAACTTGTTGGTTATGATAATTCAACGGCAAAAAAAGCATTTACAATTCTTAGTAAAATGATTGACGACGATGAAAGACGAAAATATTTACATTCACATTGTCATACATTGAAAATTTTATTAGAAAAAGTTGATAATTTAGATTTGGAAAGTGCAGCAATTTTAAGTGATGTTCTTCATGGTCTGTGCATTCAATCGAGTTCAATTTCTGAATCATTATCCGATGATATGAGTATTTTAATGTCAAAACAAATTGCCAGTTCAAAACCAATGTAAGTCAATTTCTAATGTGTATTTTTGCACAATTTTTATTTTCTAGGGAGTTTTTTTTAACAAATTAGAGTTTAAATTACTTTTCTATTTTTTTTTTAGAACAAAATGTAAAGGTGTCTTAAGTGCTTGTATGGCAATTAAACATTTTGCAAGTAAAGAAGAAACGTGTAAAGATGCATTAAATCTTTTTGGTAAGTTATGGAAATGTTTAATTTTTTTTTCTTTCACATATTTGTTTCATAATTTACTGACTTTTTTCTGTCTTTCCCTAATAAAACTAAAAATTTACTATTTCAAAAAAGTACTATAAAAAATTTAATATTTTAAATAATTAGATAATTGTTCTTGTAAGTGCAAAAACAATTTTTCACTGCTACTTTTTCCTACTTTTTTTTAAAAACCCGAAAGCTACTTTTTATTTACAGGCCTCGGATCGACTTTAAGGAGCAAAAAAAGTCGTTTTAGTTGATTTACATTAAAAAAAAAGTCAATTTTTTTATTTTAATTAAATTTAATTAGTTAATAAATATTTTACTATAAATAATAATTAATGTTATTAGATATTAAATCCATTTTTTAAATTCCTTAATAAGAATAATTCTACAGGAATATTTTTAAGAAAATTTATTTTGAATATTTCAGAATCGAAGATTTCACCAATTCAAAATGAAAGTTTCAATTAATAATCTCCTGAAATTCAATTATTATTTCTAAAAATTTTAAGTCGAACTCTTCTAAAATACAATTATTTCTAAATTTTGTATCTAAAATTGAAATTGTTGAATAATTTAATTTTAATAATTTTAATCAAGATTTTCGAAAATTAAATTATTTAAAACATATTTCAATTCGAAATACTCCAAAGTTTAATTATTATTTAAAGTTTATAAAATATTTACAGAAATTATAATTTACGAAAATTTTAATTAAAAATCTCCTGAAATTCAATTAGTTCCAAAAATTTTAACTATTGTTCTTCCAAAATTCAATTATTCCTAAAAATTTTAATTTCAATCTCTTTTTTAAATTAATTATTTCTTGTAACTTTAATCAAGTTCTTCAAAAATTCAATCACATAAAACGTTTTTTAATTAATAAATTTTTTAAAATTTAATTTTTGTTTATAAAATTTTTAAAAACTTTCAATAATTCAAGTTTATTAAAATTTTAATTGAAAATTCTCTATAATTCAATTATTTCTAAAAATTTTGTTTAAAATTCTTCGCTAAATTAATTTTTTTAATTACTTTAATACAGTTTTTCAACAATTCAGGGTAATAAAAAGTTTTCTTATTAAAAATACTGTAAAATTCAATTATTCTTTAAAGTTTGTAAAAAAAATTTTCAATGAAAATTTATGAAATTTAAAATCTTCTGAAATTTAATTACTTCCAAAAAAATTTTAACTACGACTCTTTTAAATTCAATTAGTAATTGAATAATTATTTAAATGTTAATTCAATTGAAAATTTTGTTCCCAAATTTTTATCTACATAATTCTTTGTTTAATTAATTATTTCAACAGTTTTAATCCAATTTTTCCAAAATTCAATTATTTAAATCGTTTTTCAATTAATGTTTATATTTACAACAAAATTATAATTTTTTTTTAATTTCAAAAATTGCAATTATTTCTAAAAATCTTAGCTCTAACTCCATTAAAATATGAATTATTTAGAACATATTTTAGTTGAAAATTCTCTAAAATTCAATTATTGTCTGAAATTTGTATAAAAAATTTCATTAATTCAAATTTATAAAAATTTTCAATTGAAAATCTTTTGAAATTCAATTATTTCTATTAATTTTAAATCAATCTGTTCCATTTTCAATTATTTTTAAAATTTTAATTAAAAATCTTCGGAAATTCAATTATTTCACAAATTTGTCATTTAAAATTAATTTTTTTTTTCAATAATATTTCAATGAAATTCTTCGAAAATTTAGTTATTTAAAACATTTTCCGAAATTCTGAATTCAAATAAATCAGACTTGAAAAATTTTCTTTTTTTTTTTAATGTAACTTTAAATTATTTTTGAAAATTTGTTCTTAAACTTAATTGAAATCTTAAAAAATTTGTCTCAGTTTAATTTGGTGGTTTAAAAAGAAAAATTCTTGAAAATATATATCTGTGAAATATTCTTATTTAGGAATTAATAAATTTTATTTAATTTCTAATAACAAATTGTTAATAATAATAAAAATTATTTATCCATCAATTAAATTTATTGAAAATTAAAAAATTGACTTTTTAGACTTTTTTTGTAATGTAAATCGACTAAAATGATTTTTTTTTCCTTTCAATAGTCGATTCGAGGCCTAGAATTATAAAAATATAAGACAATAATTTTTAGAAACAAAAATTTGAATTGGAAATTTAAAAAATTATAATTTTTCAATTTTTAAAATTTATTTTTATAATTATTTTTAGAAATTTGAAATTTTTCCAATATTTTTCATTAAATTCCCTGACTTTTCAATGATTTCTCTGACCCGTGGCAACCCTGTGTAAAATTTTAAAAATAATTAAATTTTTGGTAATTTTATTTGTTTTTTTTATTAATTGTAAACAATTGTTGAATTTCATAAAAAAATTTTAATTAAAAATTTGTAAAATAATTGATATAAAGAAGATTTGCATTGTTTACTAAAAAAAAGACGTAATTTGTTTTAAAATTTTGTAAAATAACAAAATGTAAAAAAATCAAAAAAGTCGCATCTTATTAAAATAAGTAGAAAAAAGTCAGAAAAAGTCGTAAAATCCGAGGCCTTCATTTTATTAACTAAAAAGTGCAAAACATGAATTAATAGAAAAAAAAAAAAATTCTCCAATTTTACAGAAAGAGTGACGTTGGGAATAAAATTATGTCGCAGATCGCAAGCTTTATTTTATGATCGAATGAGTATAGTCGTGTCTGAAACTGAAAATATTGATACTGAATTTCTTAGAGTAATTTCAAGTTATTTCGAAGACGCATTTAATGAATACATTGAGGCAAATCCATCAGAGAGGTTTATAATTTGTTTCTTTTTAAATGTATTTTATAAAGTACGATTAAAAGTAATGATTATATTTATTAAATTGTATTTAAAAATAATAATTACAGGGATAATATGGAAGTGAAATTTGGATTAAATCCACCGCGTAATATGCCAACGGAAATAATAATTTCCTTTGGCGATGGAAAATTTGGTGGAATTGTGCCTATTTTATTTAGATTAATAAGAATGTGTAATGCAAGACTCGCTGATAATCTTAATGATATTAATGCACTTTTGGGTGCAGCGATAATTGTACCAAGAAATCTTGAAGAGCCAGAATCAAAAAATCTTGATTATATGCTTTATTGTATAAATTGGTGAGTTTAATTTTGAAAATTTTTATTAACTTTATAATTTTTTTTTTATTACTTTGCAATAATTGTTGATTTAACTTTAAATTTTATTGCAATTTATCCTGAATATTAAATTTGAAATTTTATTATTTTGAATTAACAAAAAAAAAAAAATAATTTCTAGTTTTAAAAAATTATAACCGATTCTTTGATTTATATTTTTTTCTTATTTTTTTATTTATACCTTCGATTGTACAGTGAAACTTTAATTTCAATTAAAGTTTGATTTTTTTTTAATTTTCCTTTATATTTAATTTAAAATATTTGTGTTACCATTTCTTTGAAGGTTTAGAGAAGTGATAAGTGGTTTTATAAGTGATGAAGATTCTCAAATGCAGAGAAGAATATTAAAGCGTCTTGACGATTTAATGAAAATGCAAGGTGAATTTCAAATGGCACTCTCGATGCATGATACTCGTTATGAACCACCACAGGCATATTTTCATTATTTTCCCGTTAAGCCTTTTGTTAAAATAGAAAAAAAATCAACGAAAAAGGGAAAAAAAGCCGATAAATCGCTTGTACTTGCAAATCCTGAATGGGAAACTTTTGATTTGGGCTCACTTCTTGTATCGAAAAATCCCACTTATTTCCGTAAATTGGACATAAAGGTTTTTATTTTATTTTTTTTTCATTATTTATTTATTTATTTTTCTTTTATTATTTATTTTATTATTATAATTAAGAATTTTTTCCATAATTTTAAAAAATGTTGACTTACAAATGAACTGTGAGAATATTAAAATATTTTTTTAAATTTTTAAATAAATTTTTTATCAGGTAGTTCATCTTTTGAACATTAAAATGGATATGACTTTGACTCAAACATCATCGCAGGCTGTGTCTATTGCTCAAGTTTGTTTTGTTGTAAAAGAATTATTGGGAATGCTTGAGAATAATACTTCGGATTTATTAATACGCGATTTAATCCATTTATTGCCGGAAATATGCAATAAATTACAGGATATTGCCAATGAAGTAAAAGAAAATGAAATTGAAGATTGTCAAATGAGAGAAGCACTTATTCTTTTGTTGCAATTGATAAATCAAATTTTCAGCTGCAAGGAATTACATAATACTGCAAAGCATAGTGAACTTGTTCAAAGTCAGTTTATTTTTTTTACAATTTTAATTTATTTATAAAATTTTATTTACTTTATTTAAATTTATATAAAAAAATTAATCATTAAATTTATTTTATTATTCTTATTATTACTAGCAAACTATACTCGCGTGTGAAAAGTTGCTTTTTTAATTTATTTATTTATTAACAAAAAAAAAAAAAATAATAATAAAAATATTTGAATTAAGTAAATTATATAATTATAAAATTTTTATTTCTATATTTTAAATATCTACAATTTAATTAATATTATTTTTCAAATTAATAGTTTTAAATTAATTAAAATATTAAAATATTAAAATTATTCAAAATAATCAAACTTTGGAAGAGTTGTAGTTGAATTTTTTAGAAATAATTAAATTTCAAAAGATTTTCTTAAATTTTAGACAATAATTAAATTTTACAAAATTGAAAATAATTTATCAAAATAATTTTAGATAACATTTTTTAAAAGTAATTAAATTTTCAAAAGATTTACAATTTTGATTTTTGAAATTAATTGAACTTCAAGTGATTTTTAATTGTAATTTTTTGATGAAGAATTTATTAACAATTAAAGACAGTAATTGAAATTTAAAATTTTCTAATTGAAAAATTGGAAAAAAAGGTTTTACATTGAAATTTTTGGTAATTTTATTTGATTTTTTTTAAATTGTAAAAAATTGTTGAATTTCACAAAAATTTTTAATGGAAAAAAAATAAATTTTCGAATTTTTAAAAATCATTAAAAATAATTTAATTTTGGAAGAGTTAGAATTGAAATTATGAAATTTCAAAAAAAGTTTTGATGAAAAAATTTGAAAATACATATTTAAATTTTAAAAGGTTTTAAATTGAAATTTTTGGTAAATTTCATTTTATTTTTTTTTTTTTTAATTGTAAAAAATGGTTGAATTTTGAATTTCCGAAGAATATTATAAAAATCATAAAAAATAATTATATTCAAAAAAAAATTAGAATTGAAATTATCAAATTTCAAAAAGTTTTAGATGAAATTTTTTAAAAATAATTAAATTTTAAAAAGGTTTTGAAATTGAATTTTTTTAGTAATTTTATTTGATTTTTTTTCTTAATTGTAAACAATTGTTGAATTTCATAAAATTTTTAATTGCAAAATAATTTAAGGTAATTGAATTTGTAATGAATTTCATTAAAATTATTACAAAAGAATAATTAATTTGGAGAAAAATTTTAGTTAAAAATTTGTTAAATAATTGAAATATAGAAGATCTGAAGATCTGTATTGCATACCAAAAAAGACGTATTTTGTAAAAAAGTGAATAATAATAGTAATAATAATAATAATAATGAAATAAAATGCAAAATTTAATTGAAAAAATTTGTTTCAGCGGGACTTAGTAAAATAGCAACACAAACTAGAGGAATGAATACAACTCAAATATCAAGAAAAGATCTTGTTGCTGAAGCTTACAGATTTTTTGACCAAATGCGTGAAATCGCTGAAGGTCGATCAATTGTTCTTGCTTTTAATATTTCTAATGTTTGTGGAACTCTAATGAAACATTCAAAAGTTTTTGAAAATGAAAATAAAGAAGCACATGGTAATATTAAAATATTATATATTATATTAAATATTATATTACTAAAATACTATATATTATTATCAGTTTATTATTAAAATATTTAAATATTATGAAAATCAATTATAAAAATCGTAATATTGAAAAATTGTCAATATTTTCAGGAAAAATGTAACAATTAATTAATTATCAGTGTTTCAATAATTTCAAAAGAAAATTTAGTTTCTTTGATTGAAAGAAAACACTTTTTTTTTAATGATAAATAAATTTTATACTAGTTAAATTTTTTATTTATTTAACTATAACTGATTTATTTGTTAATTATAATAAAGTATGAATTAAATTTCCAGCTACAATGGCATACGATTTTCTACGATCGAAAAATTGGCTGGATAAACAAACAGGAAGTTTGTATCGTAATGCAATTGCTGGATTGCTTAAAACTTGGATTGACAATGAACCATCACCATTGAAAAAAGTGAAAGAAGTTGTTGATTGGCTAAAGGACGATGTTGAATTATTGGAAAAAGCTTCAGATTGCTTGCGAAATTTACCATCAATTAATAAAAGCAATTTTCCCCTACTTTTCAAAAAAATTCTCGAGGGTCTTATTAAAGGGATTAAGATTGATTTACGTGATTCTAATCTTCCGTACGTTTTTTACAAAAAAAAAAGAAAAATACTAATTAATATTTATGATGGATATAAGAAAATTGAATATTTATTAAATTTTTCAGTTGTACGACAAAATTAGCAACATGGGAAACTGCTGGCAAGATAGTGTCAACAATTGTTGATATCAGCAGATTATTGAATATAAGAACAATTCTCATACTTTCAGTGAGATATCTGATAATAATTATGCGACTGTTACTCAATCAGGGAATTGAACTTATGGAATATAATCTTAGATATCATCCTCAGGAAGTCATGAATATTATCAACTATTTTCAAAGTATTTATTTATTTACTATATATCTATTTATTTATTTCAAGAAAAAAATTCATTTAATTTAACAATGCTTTATTTGAATTAACATTTTGAATTTTGAAAATCTGATGTGAAATTTCTAATCAGCTACCCCGGAAACCCCCTAAATAACGAGTTTTATGAATTTTTTTGAATTTTGAGATTATAGGAATAATAATTCAGCTATGTTTTTGCGTTTTTTCTAATCATATAATATAGAGAACTTTTTATAGTTTAAATATAAGATTTTTTTTCATTTTCTACAGCTTATTAATAGATTCAATATTAACTTTTCTAGAATCTACAAGATTTTTACATGGAGTTTATTGTACTGGTGTTCATCAACAGGATACAACAATGACAAAATTCTTTCCCAGTATTAAATCATTATACGATCAATTTATTTGTCGTATGAAGGGATTTATGGCATTCAATGATTCATTAAAATTCTTTAAATTAGGAAATTTAACTAAAAAAGGAATCGACGGAGTGCCAATACAATCGCAGGTATGAATTTTTGTTTATTGAGTATTAAGGCTTCTTTTTTTTTATTAATTTTTTTTTTCAATACTTCAAATTCGAAATTCTACAAATATTAAACTTTTCTCGCAATTGCTTTTCCTTTTCATTGGTAATTTTTCAAATTCAAACAAATGTCATTATTTAGAAATTACAATTTTTTTTTTAAATATTCCACTTTGAACTCAAAGTTTTTGAAATCTTAACAATCTATCAATCTATCTATAAAGCGTCGATTGTGCAGCAATTGGGACGCATGATTATGTTCTAAAAATCATTAGTTAGAATTTTCATTTTATCGAATTTCATTTGTCATAATTATTTTTGAGCCGAATTTTCATTTGTTTAAATTATTATTTTGTAGAATTTTCATCAAAACGATTTTCTATATTACAGAATTTTTATATAACCGAAAATTCACTTCAAAAAATTTTTATTTGTCAAAAATTTTATTTGCTCGAATTTTGATTTAACATAATATGTGTAAGAACTATAAAGTTCATAATATGTATTATTCGAGTTACAGTTTCAAAAAACTAGTTCGCTACAAGCATTCATACTTGTAGTATCGCTTAGCGATTATATTGTCAAATAAATTGTCCTAATCTTAAAGTCATGTCTCATTCTATCCATATGCCTAATTTCTAATATAGGCATTTTAAAAAAGAATTTTTATTGGGTAGAATATTATTGCATAGAATTTTCATTTTATTTTTTCAGATGAATTTTCATTTGTTCGAATTATATTATTTCATATAATTTCCATATAACCGATTTTTTATACTGTAGAATTTTTACTTAACCGAAAAATCATTTAACAGAATTTCTAATTGATAGAATGTTCATTTGTCCGAAATTGCAAATGGCCGAACAAACAATCGGTTTCGGTGCGATTTTTAAAATCAACCAATCACAATTTTATGGATAATTTTTGATTGGTTGATTTTAAAAATCGCGCCCAAATCGATTGATTGTTCGGTCATTGGCAATTTCGGATAAATAAAAATATGCTATCAATTAGAAATTATGTTAAATGATTTTTCGGTTAAGTAAAAATTCTGTAGTATGAAAAATCGGTTATATGGAAATTCTATCAAATAATAATTCGAACAAATGAAAATTCATCTGAAAGAATAAAATGAAAATTCTATGCAATGAAATTCTACCAAATAAAAATTCTTTAAAATGTCTATTATGTTAAATGAAAATTCGATAAAAATTCTGTGAAGTAAATTTTTGGTTATATAAAAATTTTGTAATATAGAAAATCGTTTTTGATGAAAATTCTGCAAAATACTAATTCGAAAAAATATAAATTCGGCTCAAAAATAATTATGACAAATGAAATTCCATAAAATGAAAATTATAACTAATGATTTTTAGAACATAATCATACGTCCCAAAAATTTAATGATAACTTTTAAATACCCTCGGAATTAGAGGGTTAAAATCGGTTATGGCCAGGTCCAAGTGAGGCAGCGCCATCTACATTGATACTAAAATTTTGGAAAATTTTCAACAGTCTTTTCTTGAAAATAAGAAGGTAAAATGCTTTTTCCTTTATGGATAATTAATTATTGGCAAGATATACACCAGCTAAAACTTTTTTTGAGTTGAAATAATAAAAAAAATTTCATGTCAATAAATTAAATATGAGCACTTTTTTCACAAAAACTGTAACAGTACTTTCTCAGAAATTACAATCAAAAATGCAATTTCCATTTGGAAAATTAATAAACGCTAAAAAATGCACGACCTAAGATTTACCAATCACGAAAATAACAAAAAAAAAATTTTATTAAATATTTAACATATTGATACTGCTTTACTGATTGTGACAGCCCTTTGGTAGATTATGTATTTCAGGTGGTTAGCAACAGCGCCAATCTCCTCCTTTCGGCCAAACTGCGAAACGTCTGGAGACATATATAACCTGCCAAACGGCTGTTATAATGAGTAAAATGTGTTATGTTAAAAAACTTTTTTTTGTTATTTTCGTGATTGGTAAATCTTAGCTGGTGCATTTTTTAGCGTTTATTAATTTTCCAAATGGAAATTGCATTTTTGATTGTAATTTCTGAGAAAGTACAGTTACAGTTTTTGTGAAAAAAGTGCTCATATTTAATTTATTGACATGAAATTTTTTTTATTATTTTAACTCAAAAAAAGTTTTAGCTGGTGTATATCTTGCCAATAATCAATTATCCATAAAGGAAAAAGCATTTTACCTTCTTGTTTTCAAGAAAAGGCTGTTGAAAATTTTCCAAAATTTTAGTATCAATGTAGATGGCGCTGCCTCACTTGGACCTGGCCTGATAGAATTTCAAGACGATAATATTAAACTTTTGTCCCACTGTGCCTCGTTCCAAAATCCATGATAGTTCAAAATCTTTGTAAATTAATGTTAATTATAAAATTAAAAAAAAAAAATTTAAATAATTCTTTTTTTTTATTATTTAGTCATCGACGGATGAATCATCGAGTTTAGTGGATTTAGATGGAATTACCGATGGTACAGAATCAAATCTTTCTGAAATTCTTGGCGAAGAAGAATTACCAGATATTGAATCAGATACCTCTGATGAAGAAATAAATGTGGAAGATGACAATACAAATGATTCATTTTTGTAATTCAACAAACGATATATATATAAATTTTATTTTTTTTCAACACATTTTTTCATAGAATATAATATATTTTTTTCATATCAAATGAATATTATTTTTATTTTTATTTCTATTAATACGACAAGATTTGTTAAGAACACTTATTGAGAGAATTATTCTTTTTTTTCATTGAAGAAATGTTTCAAATTTTTGAGTTTTCCAACTTTCATCAGGCATCAATGTTTCTTCGATAAATGTTATTTTATTAGAGCCATCGACCAATAAAATTGTATGTGTCCTTGTGCCATAAGTTTTTGTTTCAGAATTAACAAATATTGAACTGAGTGCTGGATAATATTCTGGACTTCTTTTGAGTAATTCTTCATCCGGTAAATGTCTGAAAAAAGAATTTTTTTTTTTTAGTTTAATTATTTAAAGTAATTTAAAATTGTAATATAAAATGAAAAAAAAAGTTAATTTTTTCATGGAAATAATTATTTTCTTGTTCTTTTTTTTTTACCTTTGGGAACATTTGAGAAATTCCAATAGTTTTTCAATTAATTCATTTTGATTGTTTATTGAAGCATTTTTTACGAGTTCTTCAAATTTTTTTTTTCCATATTGTACTTTTTTATAGGGTTTATCGAATTGACTATTTCCAAATCCGAAAATTTTCTCATCACTTGTCTGTGGTGCTTTCATATGCGAAGGACTGCTAAACCATCTTACTTTGGCGTTTCTATTTTAAATAGAAATTAAATTTAAATTTTATTTAAATTAAAAATTTTATTTAAATTTTTAATAGAAATTTTATTTTTTTACATTAAAGTTTTAAAAAAATAAATTCTACATATTAATATTTTTCTAAAAATTTATTTATTTCAATTTAATATGAAAAATTTTTGCATATTAATTAAATTAAAATTTATGAAACTAATTTTTCTTTTAAATTCTACTGGGTTTCTTTTTTTTTTTTTAAATACATACACTAAATCGATAATAACAAGAGTAAATGGATTATATTTCTCAGTTCCTTGATCAATTCGATATAATTCGTTTAAATAAGTTTCACTCGATTCATTCGATGTGACATAATTGGAAACTAAAAATCCACGACTTTCTTTTGGTGTTTCTGGTTTTGCTTCGCCACATAATGTCAAAACTGCACCTGCTTGTCCTTTTGTTGATAATGCTAACCATGTTCCTCCTTCTTTGCCAGGTTCCATATCTGTTCCTAATTTTTAGATACATAATTTTTGACAAAATTTTTTATTTTTTATAAATTTTCTCTTTATTCAAATTTTTATTGAAAAAAATTCCAAATTATAATCCAATATTAATTTAACAGAATTTTCATTTAAGGCCACGTGCAACTCGTCAAATGTAAATAAACATAAAAATGTACGTAATTATTGATAAAAATTTGCGACAGCCTTTTTTTTTAATAGAAAATAAAAATTGTTCTTTTTCTATGTGAAAATGGAAAATTCATTTATATAACTACAGCCTGACACCGTATTTGACTAATAACACAGCCACATATATATTCGTCTGAAGTAAGTAGTTTCCAGTGATTTTAAATATTTGTCCGCCATGTTGCATCCGCCATTTTGAATTTTGAATAACTGACTCCGGATTCATTTTCAGTGACCCCAAAAACCCCCGAGTAGAGAGTTTCAAGCAAATCCGAACGATTTTTTAGAAAAAGTCCGCCATATTGGATCCGCCATATTGGATTTTTTAAAACTGACTTCAAATTCGTAATCAGCGAACCCAAAAACTCCCGAGTAATGAGTTTCAGGCGAATCTGATGAATTTTTCGAAAAAGTGTCCGCCATATTGGTTTTTTGAGGTTATCTCAAAATCCTGATCTGATGGGGTAAAACGGACCCCGAATTCGGATTCAGCGACCTAAAAAACATAAAGTAGGCATAGTCAGACCCCCAGATCAAAACTTTTTTTGTGTGGCTGTGTATAATATGAATAATATTAATAATTTCAATAAAATGAAAATTACATTTAAACAACAATTTTCTCAAGGTTACGAAAAAAACCATTTGAGTATATCTAACGCACGGACGTTGTGAACCTAGGTGGGAGAAAGAGTTGAGCGATTGGACGGTCCCATCTTGGAAATTGAAATTATACCCCCACCAGAGGACAGAGACTAGGTCTTTTACCCCTTCCCACACTATTTCTCCCATTCAGGTCTACTTCGTCCGTGCCTTAGATAGGTTTGTGACTTGTGAGTCGTGAAACGTTTCATTGAAAGATTGAAACTTTCATTTGAAAGTTTCATGGATGTAAATTTCATTAGTTTCATGAAACATTGGATAACCAATAGTAAGCCTTCATGCGTAAATGCGCAATACCGTAATAATTGTTTCAGGTTAGGTCAAAAAATAAACTTGTGATTATTATAATAAAAAAAATGTTGTATGACTGTTTTTGTTACTAAACTAAATTTTTTTTATTATTTAATTAATCATACTTAATTTATTATTATATAACAATTTTGCCTATATTTCGAACTGAAACCATTTCAACTTCAGGGCTGAAAATTTAAACAAAATATCACATTAAATAATTTTTCAATCAAAAAAATTTAAATATAATAAATATCTTTTTTAATTTTTGAGTAATCGTTGGTATGTTATTTTTATGCAGTATGATTATTGAGAGATATTTATTATATTTATTTAAACTATTTTGATTGAAAAATTATTTAGTGTGGTATTTTGTATGAAATGTTTAGCCTTAAAGATGAACAGATTCCAGTTCGTAACGTAGGAAAAATTATAATATAGTAATAAATCAAATATGACCAAAAAGACCGATTTCAAATCTTATAATTTTCTTAGTCGTTAAACTAATGGTTTTTTTTCGTAACCTTGAGAAAATTGTTGTTTCAGTGGAATTTTCATTTTATTATAATTATTATTCATATTATTAGTCAAATACGGTGTCAGGCTGTAGTTTTATAACTGAATTTTCCATTTTCACATAGAGAAAGAACAATTTTTATTGTTGACAAAATTTTATTGACAAATTTGTCAATAATTACGTACATTTTCATGTTTGTTTACAATTGACGAGTTGCACCTAGCCTTAACAGAATTTCATGTTACTAATGTCGAAATTTCTAATTCATCGAATTTTTATTTGCACAAATTTTTATTTTGATAAAATTCTTAAAACGTCGTATTTTTATTTTATGCAATTTCATTTGTCATAATTAATTTGGAGACGAATTTTTATTTGTTTGAATTAGTATTCTGCAGAAATTTTATCAAAACGATTTTCTATATTACAGAATTTTTATAAAACCGAAAATTCACTTCGCACAGAATTTTTATTTGTCCGAATTTTCATTTAACATAATAGGTATTTTAAAGAAATTTTATTTGGTAGAATTTTCATTTTATTATTTAAGATGAATTTTCATTTCTTTGAATTATTATTTCATATAATTTCCATATAACCGATTTTTCATACTACAGAATTTTTAATTAACCGAAAAATCATTTAAAAGAATTTCTCATTGATAGAATTTTCATTTGTCCGAATTCGCAAATGGCCGAACAAACAATCGATATCGGTGCGATTTTTAAAATCAACCAATCACAATTTTATGGATAATTTTTGATTGGTTGATTTAAAAAATCGCGCCAAATTAATAATTAAATTAATATTAAAAATCTGAATTTGAGGTTATGTTTTTGTTTATTAACAGCAGTTAATTTGCAATATTCTAAGTCATACAAGATACACGACTTTACACTACACTACACGATCGTTACACATTTTTTAATCTATTGTAGACGCAGCCTAACCTAAAAATCATTTAGGCTGCGTCTACAATAGATTAAAAAATTTGTAATGAGCGTGTAGTGTAGTGTAAAGTCGTGTATCTTTTATGACTTAGATATTGCCAATTAACTGCTGTTAATAAACAAAAACATAACCTTAAATTCAGATTTTTAATATAAAATAAATTTAAAATTTAATATAAATTCTAAATTTGAGGTTATGCATTTTTGTTTATTAAAAGCAGTTAATGGTGTTCCGCAATGGCAAACAGTGGTTGTCTTTTAAAAATTGGCTCCTCGTAGGTGCATTTAATTTAAAAAGAATATTTCTCTCAACTCGGATTGAAACAAAAAAATCGAAAAAAATACCAGTTATCCTGAAATGTTGTACTTTCATTTACGCACAAGAAATTGAAAATTCATTACGATAAACGACGTCAGGAAGTAAAATAAGAAATTTTTTTGTAGCCGTCGGGTGCTGCCCCAGATTTTAATTTCTTGGAGGCAAATGAAAGTACACAGGGTGTTTTCGACGTTGACACTCTGAGCGCTCTGAGAGCTCGAAAAGGTTCTCAACCACATTTTATTATTTTAGTGTATTTAACCTAACCTAATCCAATGCAATCTTCTCATTACGTTTTCAAGACCGGTGAAGACCACGCTGTTGCATCATGGAGGAAAGAATAATTTTAAATGATTTACTTTTAAAGAACAATAAAACATTATTCAAAAATAATGGTCGCATTTCATGCGACGTAACGAACGTTGATACGGGTAAGTATTAATTTTAATGTAATATTTATATTTTTTATTTATTTATTTTATTTATTTTTTATTTATATTTTAACAAGATTTTGTACAATTCCTATAGCGTTAACGTAATTGACTTCAGGGTTTAAATTTGCCATTTTTGAAAATTTTCCGTTATTTACTTTCGCACTCAGAAAATACGCTCGGTTTATTAAACAAGATTGAGAAACCAGAGCACGAGCACAGCCCGAACGCATCCAATTTCAAATAAAGCATGCAAATAACACACCCTTTTTTGTGCACATCAATTAAAACTGCAGCCCGTATCACAAACATCTCACTTTTAGCATGCTTTAGCCAATCATAATAAGTTATGGCTAATCATAATTTTTAATATTGGTTGAGAACCACTTAACACTTTCAGAACACTCAGAGCGTCGACGTCGAAAACACCCACAAACTCAGGATAACTAGCCATTACGGAACACCGTTAATTGACAATATTTAAGTCATACAAAAAAAAAAATATTTTGGCGTAAAATTTTTAAGATTGATAGATTTGGGTATAGAATGCACATCGTTGTTTTCCTGAAAAAACATATTTTTGTGTTAAATTATTAAAAAAATGAAGTTTAAAAAGTGGCATTTTTAAACAAAAATAAAAACAAACATGGCGGCGTATACACAGACTTTGCTTGAGTGTGTCAGTGCTCCAGTAAACAGTAAATCATTTCTTTAAAATTTTAACCCGAAATCATTTTTTATTTCAGAAAAAAGTTTCAAACCACAAAAAAACATCCTTTGCCCACTTAAGGCCAGGTCCAAGTCGAGTCAGCTGTTCCTTTGAAGTTTCAATGGAACAGCTGACACGACTTGGACCTGGCCTTAAGGGTACTTGGGAACCTCCCATGTGACCTAGTATGGAAAAATGTATTATGGTAGTGTACGTCTTACTCTAAAATGAAAAAAGATTTTTGTCTAAAATTTTGAGGGATAATAAGATTTGGGTTCAAGGAATCTCGCTCTTCTCTTAAAAATACATCATTTTATGTTAAATTATAAAAAAATGAAGTTTAAAAAGTGGCATTTTTAAACAAAAATGAAAACATAGTGGCGCATACACAGACGTTCGAGTAAACAGCGCTAATTCGAGCAAGTGGCCGCTGAATGAACTATGCTGTAATACATTATTTTCCTATTTATTGCTTTATTTTCATTATTTTTGCGTTATGTCATAGTAAATGTAAAGAACAGCGAGATTTCTTGCACCAAACGAAATCTTCTTTCTAAAATTTTAACCCGAAATAATTTTTTATTTTAGAGAAAGTTTCAAACCACAAAAACGTCCTTTGCCCACATAATCTTAACAGAATTTCTAATTGATAAAATTTTCATTTGTCAAAAATTGCAAATGGCCGAACAAACAATCGATTTCGGCGCGATTTTCAAAATCAACCAATTACAATTTTTTAGATAATTTTGGATTTGGTTGATTTTAAAAATCGCGCCAAAATCGATTGATTGTTCGGTCATTGGCAATTTCGGACAAATGAAAATTCTATCAATTAGAAATTCAGTTAAATGATTTTTCGGTGAAGTAAAAATTCTGTAGTATGAAAAATCGTTTATATGGAAATTATATCAAATAATAATTCAAACAAATGAAAATTCATCTGAAAGAATTAAATGAAAATTCTATGCAATGAAATTTTATCCTGTAAAAGTTCTTTAAAATGCCTATTATGTTGAATGAAAATTCGAGCAAATAAAATTTCAAACAAATAAAAATTCTGTGAACTGAATTTTAGATTATATAAAAATTTTCTAATATAGAAAATCGTTTGGATGAAAAATTCTGCAAAATACTAATTCGAAGAAATTAAAAATTCGACTCAAAAATAATTATAACAAATGAAATTCCATAAAATGAAAATTCTAACTAATGATTTTTACAACATAATCATGCGTTCAAGAAATTGTTTAAAAAATAAAATTTTTTTTTAATTTTTGAAATATATTGTTCTCCCTTATTTTGAAGCATCAAAAATGAAAAAAAATCATGAATATTTTTCAAGTCATTATAATTTGATTGTTAAACTTTTGAGGTAGCATTAATTTTTATTTTCGAAATATTAATTAATTTAATAATTAATGTTAAAAATTTCAAATTCAAAATTTTTACACTTATTTAACACTTATAGTATCATTGGTTAAATAAATAAATAAAAAAAAAAGTGTAATAAAATTATTATTATTTTTTTTTAAATAATTATAAAAATGTACCTCCAAGACAATGAGGATGTTTTTCCCAATAATGTGCAGGTTTTGCTGGACGATTAAGCATTTCATCTCGATTCGCGACGATAATTAATCGAAAAGAATTCGTATCAGCTTCTGGATTACGATAAATAAATAAAATACACATTTCTATTTTATATTTAAAGAAAAAAAAATAAATTAATTATAATTAAAAATTTGATTCTATTTCTATTGTTATTGCTATTTAAATGTCTTTTTGCATCAACTTTATGTAATATACTAAAAAATATAATTGCCACAAAAAGTAGGCATCATTTAAAAATATTGATTTTTTGCACTCTTTTATTGTTATCTTCATTGATAAGAAATAAGTAAACGAAATGGTTAGTGACGAATTTTTTATGTACAATGCACAGTATACGACACGTGCAAAAATCAGCTGATTTTCACTAACACCCAGAGTTCGGAAGTTACTTGGTTTAAGGTTTGCGACGTACAGTCAGGCTTCATTCTAATATGAACGAGTCGGTACCGGAAGGAACAAAAGTAACAAACATCCCACTTTTTACTTAGCACTTCTCCTCTTTTTGTGTCTGTGTGTGTGTATTTATTCATGTGTATGCGCAAGGAGTCACCAAAAATCTGCGCGTAAGGGGTAAAAATCATAATTTAATTTAATAATTAAAAAATCTATTAAAAATCACCTCCTTGGCGAATTAGCTCAATCAATCTCTAAGCGAATTTGATCAGGTTTCGCTCAAATTCACCGTTTCTCTACGGCTGTATTCTTTGGTACAAATAAAAAAAAAATAAAACTTTAATTTGAAGCAAAATACTGCATTTTATTTAGTATAAGAATTTTTAAAAAAATGATAAATACTGCTAAATTAGTAATTATTTTGAAATAATAATAATAATATTTTACTGACACAAAACATTCAATTTGCGTTTAAAATGTAATTATTTAACAATTTCTTTATATTTATAAAATTCGTAATCAATAAACCAAAATTTTTGAGGTTAAGGGTGCTTAGCCCATTAACAGAAGTCACAGATTTTTTTTTGGTAATATTCAAATTTTAAAATTAATTAACTATAGTAATTGTAAATTATTGTTATTTTAATATTTTTTAAATAAAAAAAACAATTTTTTTAGTTTCTGATGAGGACAGCTCTACTGTCGAAACGTTAAGAAAAGGGATCGTTTTTTATTTTCCTTTTTTCAAATATTACAATTGACTTGGAAGATTGATAAATTTTAACAACTTTAATATTAATTATTAGATTAGATTAGATTTATTTCTCAATGTACATCTTTTTGGATTTATACATATTTGCTTTCCCCACACTATATACATTAAAACTAAGCTAACAAATTATTATAATATATATAAAAAAAACGATTTTACAAGAGCAAAAAAAATTATAGTTTACAAAGTTTAAAAAAAAACTATATGTTTACTGTAAATCTTAGTCAATATTAATTAGTCTTTGGCACGTGCTTCAAAAAATTTCGCGTACTTGCAGAGGCTCGGGATCGGTTTTCCTTTTAGAGTATGACAAAGGTATCCCGTGAACCCATCTTCGATATTTTTCCCTAGCCAATCATCTACTTCTTTCACCAGTTGTTTATCAATTTGGGTTCTAGCCTCTCTACACAGCCAAATGTGCTCTAAATTCTCTTCTTCTTCTTCTTCACAGAAGCGACAATCCACATTTTTGAAACCTTTTTTCCCAGCTCTCCCGGCATTTCCACAACGCATCCTTGCCCACTGAATTTTTTCTGCTAGACCTACGTTCTTTAATTCCCAGTAGCTTTCTCTATCATCAGGTAATTTCCATCTTTCGTAGAGATTGCAATATGAAGACTTGCTGATTTTTATATTGTCTTTTTTCTCCTCTCTTTCCTTCAGCCCTTTAATCCCTTTCTCAATTTCTTTGTTTATTTCGTCCTCCATTCCCTCTGTCCCTATCCAATTTAAAATTCTTAAAATACCTAACTCTTTCATTGCTCTTTTTAGACTTTTACCCCATGCTGATGGCTTGTTATTCTTTATACACCTTATCTCTTCCCTGAGACAAATCTTCGGTAATCTATGGTTCTGCATTTGCGCTACTTCAGCCACATATCTAAAAGCTCTTTCTTTTGTATCGATTTCCATGCTATTTTTACCGGTTTCCGCTCTCCAAATGTATCCCGGCGTATTCCTATCTAGACCCATACTCATTTTTATAAATCTAGACTGTGCTCTTTCAAGATCGTTCTTCTTCTCTAAACCCCACATTTCCACTCCGTATAAACCTCCTGATTTTGCCAAAATTTCCATGAGATACAATCTTCTTTTTAATCCCCCTATTCTAGCTCTCGTCATGATGCCCCACGCTGTATTTGTTGCCTTCCGTAGCTTTCCTGTCATAATTTGTACATGTTTCTTGAATGTTCCTCTGCTGCTATACCAGAAGCCTAAGTATTTAAAGTGGTCCACTTTCTCAACTTTCTGCCCCGATATTTTTAAATTAATTTCTTTTCCTTTTCTGCCCCCGTTTCTAAATACCATTAATTTAGTTTTTTCCACATTTATCTCTAGTTTATTCCTGTTTACGTAACCCTGCAACCTATTAACCATTATTTTCATGTCCTCCGGGAAGTCAGCTATGACGGCCAAATCATCAGCAAACTTTAGAGCAAAAACTTTGATTTTCCCTATTACGGTTCCTCCTACTTTTCCTTTTTCCCAAATTTCGTCCATCTCATCAATGAAAATATTAAATAAAGTGGGGCTCAGTGGACAGCCCTGCCTTACACCCCTCCTGGTTATAAAACAATCCGTCAATCCCTCCGCAGTGATTACTTGGTTTACCGTTTCTCTATAGATTGTTTTTATCATATTTAACATCCTTCCTTTTATTCCGTATTTTATCAATTTAGCAAATAATAAATCCCTGTCCACTGTATCGAATGCCTTCTTAAAGTCAACAAAAGTTACATATAACTTTCCGCCTTTTCTTTTCAGACTGTTGTTTATCAGCGCATTAAAGACGAATATGTGATCCCTCGTTGACCTTTTTTTCCTGAAGCCCGCTTGAGATTCTCTATAACGATTTCCATCCATTCTCTTATACGTTCGTCCATTAACGAGGCAAGTATTTTATATCCGGTGTCCAGCAGTGAGACTCCTCTGTAATTTCCAGTGTCGTTCTCTTCTCCACCTTTAAAAATCGAGGATATATTTGCTTTTTCCCATCCCTTCGCTATTTGTCCACTCTTCCATAATTCATTTATTGTCTCATGACATTCCAACTTCCAAACTCCATCGAGTTCTTTAAAGAACTCTATTGCTATTCCATCTTCCCCAGCTGCTTTTCCGTTCTTCATTTTCTTTAAACATTTTAAAAATTCTTCCAATGAAATATCCCTATTTAGTATTTCTTCTGCCTCTTGTTTCTCTTCTTCGTTTTGTGCGACTTCCCCATCCTCGTTTCTATTTCCTGCCCTTTCTACTTCTTCCTCTTCTCTTTGTCCTTCGGCGTTAATAACTTCATTATTATCATCTGCCTCTAACAGTATTTCGAAGTGTCTCTTCCATTTTTTCTTTCCAATTCCTTCCCCATGTTTCTTCCTTTTCTGCGATCTAAAACTTTTTAAGGCTGACCAAAATTTACTCATGTTCTCGCTGTTTTCTACCTTTTTCCATTTTAATTCATTATTTTCCTTTTTCTTTTTTTTGTATAGTTTTTTTAATTTTCTTTTCTGTGCTTGTAAATTGGACTTTTCTTCCTCTCCCTTTTTACTTAAAAATTCTTTGAGACAATTCCAGACCACTTTCCTTTGCTTTCCACATTCTTCATCAAACCAACTGTCTTTAGGTTTAAAATTTTCTTTCTTCCTGCCTATTTTGCTAATCATTCCTATCCGAGGGGGAATTTACTAGTTAAAAACGTGTACACTTGACTACCGGTATTACACCTCATATTACCCGTATTACACGTTATTACAGAGTATTACACGGTATTACAGAGATTTTTGCGTTATTACAGCACCGTAATACGGCATTGTTACAAGGTATTACACGGTATTACCAGGTATTACACGAGTATTACAGGATGAGTGTACACTTGACTACCTGAGTAAATTCCCCCTCGTTCCTATCCTTCTTGAGGCTTCCCAAATGCATGTTTTTATTCATTCCCATCTGTCCAAACAGTCTTCTGGCTTTCCGATTTCTATCCACAATTTATCCATTTCACCGATGTAATCTTCTCTTTTTTCTTCTTTCCATTAATATTAATTATTATATTTAACAACAAATTTTGACTCAAAATAATTTTTTTTTTTAAATTGTACAATTGGATCTTTCGAATTTGGGTGAAATGAATTTTAAATATAATTTTAGTTCTGTTAAAAACTTCTTTAGTTTGTTTGAGGTTATGTTAATTTGAACCTCTTTAAAGTTTTCTGAAAAGTAAAATATTTAGGAAAATATAATAATAAAGAAATAAAATTTTGTGTCAGTATCAGTTTCTAAATTTTGTAATATTAAACAATTTATACCTGAAAATTTAATTCAATATTATTATTTCTATAGTTATTATTGTTTTTAATAGCATCAGGTGTCGGTTACCGTATATCTGTTACTCTAATTGCAATATTTTGCTTCAAATCATGATAAAATTCGCTCGAGTTTGCTTATAGTGCAATATGTGATAAATATCTTAAATTTATTGCTATATTTATATTCTTTTTGGTAAAAATGTGATTTTTGAAAAAATGGATTAAATAAAATATGTATTAAAATATTCCAACATGTATATTATGATTTCTTAAAATACAGTTAAAATTTACAATTTTTTAACAATAAAACTATCACGTGGTATGTTTACTAATTCCACTTCCATATGTCCATATGATTTTTTACCCTTACGCGCAGACTTTTTAAGGTTCCTTGCGCATACACATGAATAAACACAAGCATGTGTAAGGCCCTTTAGGATCCTTTTGGTCCATTCCACAATAGCTAAACGCAAAGTTAAAGCGCACGCAAAGATGACGCGCGCGTTGGTTCTAACCAATCAAACCAACGCGCGCGTCATCTTTGCTAAGGTCCATTCCACAATAGCTAAACGCAAAGTTAAAGCGCACGCAAAGATGACGCGCGCGTTGGTTCTAACCAATCAAACCAACGCGCGCGTCATCTTTGCGTGCGCTTTAACTTTGCGTTTAGCTATTGTGGAATGGACCTTAGCATTGCGATGCGTCGCGTCTGCGTTGCGTTTAGCTCCATTCTGGAGAGGGCCTATAAGGAAACGAGGTCCCGATATGTCCGTGAAGTTAGCACCACAACTTTATCAAAATTAACTTTTTTTTCTTTAAAACGTTTGTTGGTCGTTTGATAGTGTTTGATAGTTGATATTTAACGTTTGATAGTAAAAAATAGAAAAAAAAAACAACAATCAAATATTGCGGTGCTATTTTCACACTGCACCCCAATTTCAATAAAACACTAATTTTTCATTTGTAAACGTTTGTTGGTTGTTTGATAGTGATTGATAGTCAATTCTGTACGTTTGATAGTTGAAATAATATTAAATATTAACATTATTAAAAACATTTATCCATCTCACATTCCACCATATGCGCATGCGCAAAACATTCTCTCGCGGCATATTCAAATAACAGAAACAGATTATCCTATTCAATAATACAAACAAAATGCAATATTTCGAATTTTTGTTTATATATCATAAAATTAAATTATCGCCTTTCAAAATTATTAAAACAAATTATTCAAAACGGCTTAATTAATCAACAACAGGCTGCGTAACTCAAACACTTCGAATACACCAAAATTTTTTCAATCAAATCGATAGTTGGATGTTTGATAGTAATTGATAGTTGCTTAAAATCGTGTGATAGTGATTGATAGTTGGATAAAATCGTTTGATAGTAATTGATAGTTGGCTGAAATCGTTTGATACTGATTGATAGTTGTTTAAAATCGTTTGATAGTAATTGATAGTTGTTCAAAATCGTTTGATAGTGATTGTAGTTGGCTAAAAACGTTTGATAGTAGTTGATAGATGTTTAAAATCGTTTGATACTGATTGATAGTTGTTTAAAGTCGTTTGCTAGTGATTGATAGTCAGCTAAAAACGTATGAGAGCGATTGATAGTTGTTTAAAATCGTTTGATAGTGATTGTAGTTGGCTAAAAACGTTTGATAGTAGTTTATGGATGTTTAAAATCGTTTGATAGTAATTGAGAGTTGGCTGAAATCGTTTGATAGTGATTGATAGCACAGGCCTGCAAATTTTGGGTCACTTCTGTTACAAAGAAAGGGGGAGGTGATTCTTATAGGATTTTTGACGTAGAATACGAATCCGACATCCAAAATGGCCCATCACGTCAGGATTTTCTGTAATATTGGCTTAAATGGACATAAAATGGCCATTTTGACCATTTTTGGGAATTTTTTGTGGCTAACCAAAATTTTTTTTTCCATTTTGCGAAATTGTATCGTATAGTACTATTTCTAAGCTTTAAAACCCATTTTTAAAAATCGCTCTACGATTTTTTAAAAAAAAGTTATGCAGTTTTGAAATTTTTTTATTTTGCAAAAATTGTATATCAAACTATAGAGGCTGAGGTAAATAAGAAACGGTCTAGCAGTAAATGGGACACCCATTAATTATTACGTAAGGTAATAATTAGGTAAGGTCTTATTTCTTTATTGCAAATTAAAAACAAAAAATTGTTTAAACAATTATTTATTTACAAATTTTATAAAAAAATGTTTTTCTAATATCATTTATTATGAAATTCTATATTTATTCTTATTTGAAAAAAACATATATAATGCTTCGTTACTCGAGGGTTATTATTAGTGTCGATGATTACCATTCTCAAATCAGATTTAAAAAATTCAAAATGGCGGACCCAATATGGCGGACGAGTTTTTTCAAAAGTGCTTGCATTTGCTTCAAATTTCCTACTCAGGGGCTTTTGGAGACGCTGATTACGAATATGACGTAAGAGTGGTGCAGCCAATGAAAGCAAGATCAGATCATGAACGAACCAGTAAAGGTAAGACAAAGGAGTATTCCAGCCAATAAAGGCAAGATCAGATCATGAACAAACCAGTAAAGGTAAGACAAAGGAGTAGTCCAGCCAATGAAGGCAAGATCAGATCATGAACGAACCAGTAAAGGTAAGACAAAGGAGTAGTCCAGCCAATGAAGGCAAGATCAGATCATGATCCAATCAGTAAAGGTAAGACAAAGGAGTGATCCAGCCAATGAAGGCAAGATCAGATCATGAACCAACCAGTAAAGGTATGATAAAGGAATGGTCCAGCCAATGAAGGCAAGATCAGATCATGAACCAACCAGTAAAAGTAAGACAAAGGAGTGGTCCAGACAATGAAGTTAAGAATAGTTCAAGAACCAAGCAATAAATCTAATAGCAAATGTTTTCAATTAAATGCTAGAGATGATCGTTCATTCTGTTTGAAGAAATTTTCGCTTTTTACTTTTTCTTTTGTGAATTTTATCATAATTATCTCACTTAATGCTCCTGCCAATGAAGGCAAGATCAGATCATGAACCAACCAGTAAAAGTTAGACAAAGGTGTGGTTGGTTCATGATCTGATCTTGCCTTTATTGGCTGGAATACTCCTTTGTCTTACCTTTACTGGTTCGTTCATGATCTGATCTTGCCTTCATTGGCTGGACTACTCCTTTGTCTTACCTTTACTGGTTGGTTCATGATCTGATCTTGCTTTCATTGGCTGCACCACTCTTACGTCATATTCGTAATCAGCGTCCCCAAAAGCCCCTGAGTAGGAAATTTGAAGCAAATGCAAGCACTTTTGAAAAAACTCGTCCGCCATATTGGGTCCGCCATTTTGAATTTTTTAAATCTGATTTGAGAATGGTAATCATCGACACTAATAATAACCCTCGAGTAACGAAGCATTATATATGTTTTTTTCAAATAAGAATAAATATAGAATTTCATAATAAATGATATTAGAAAAACATTTTTTTATAAAATTTGTAAATAAATAATTGTTTAAACAATTTTTTGTTTTTAATTTGCAATAAAGAAATAAGACCTTACCTAATTATTACCTTACGTAATAATTAAAGGGTGTCCCTTTTACTGCTAGCCCGTTTCTTATTTACCTCAGCCTCTATAGTTTTATATACATTTTTGCAAAATAAAAAAATTTCAAAACTGCATAACTTTTTTTTAAAAAATCGTAGAGCGATTTTTAAAAATGGGTTTTAAAGCTTAGAAATAGTACTATACGATACAATTTCGCAAAATGGAAAAAAAAATTTTGGTTAGCCACAAAAAATTCCTAAAAATGGTCAAAATGGCCATTTTAGGGCCATTTAAGCCAATATTACAGAAAATCCTGACGTGATGGGCCATTTTGGAGGTCGGATTCGTATTCTACGTCAAAAATCCTATAAGAATCACCTCCCCCTTTCTTGGTAACAGAAGTGACCCAAAATTTGCAGGCCTGTGTAGTTGGCTAAAAACGTTTGATAGTGATTGATAGTTGTTCAAAATCGTTTGATAGTGATTGATAGTTAGCTGAAATCGTTTTATAGTGATTGATAATTGGCTAAAGTCGTTTGATAGTGATTGATAGTCTGCTAAA